GCGGTACTTTCTATCTCTGTCCCGACCTAGACAGCATCTACTGCCAGCCGGGTTCGGAGGGCACCCGGGCAGTAGTCCAATGCAACTGCGTCGACGAGAGCGACACGCCCATCGACGAGTGCGCTCGCTCCAGACTCCAAACGCTCGACGACCTCGTGCAGCGTGAAACGGGATTGACGGCGCTGGTCGGCTTTGAAGTCGAGCTGGTGCTCATGAAAGCCGAGTCGCAACCGGACGGAACAGTGCAGTACCGCCCCCTGAGTGACGTGCACAACTGGTCGTGCATCACGCTGGAAGATACCAAAATTCTGGGCGTGCTGGAGAGCATATCCCGCGCCCTAGCCCAAGCGGGTGTCCAGATCGAACAATTCCACGCCGAGTGTGCCCCCGCCCAGTGGGAGTTCGTTTTGCCCCCGGCGCCTCCCGTCCAATCCATCGATATGCTGCTGCGAGCCCGCGAGACCATTCGCACAGTGGCCTTCTCGCACGGCCTGCATGCCACCCTGTACCCGCGTCCGTCGCCGGACCACGCCGGCACGGGCGCCCACGTCCATATCTCGCTGAACAGCCCCGGCGAGGAACGACTGGCGGCCAGCCGTGTCGAGCCGTTCTTCGCCGGCCTGGTGGAGCACATGCCGGCTATTTTGGCCTTTGCGCTGCCCATGGAGCCGAGCTACCATCGCCTGAAGGCGGGCATCTGGAGCGGCGGGGAGTACGCGTGCTGGGGGTGGGAGAACAAGGAGACGCCGCTCCGCCGAGTCAAGGGCAATCGGTTTGAATTCAAACTGATGGACGGACTGGCCAACCCGTTTCTCACGCTTGCTGCCATCTTTGCCGCCGGACTCGAGGGGCTGCGGTCGGGAATCAGGTTAGAGGGAGGACCTTGTCCCCAGGCGGCGGCGGATCTTAGCAATGACGAACGGCGCAAATTGCGGGTGCATGTCTTGCTCCCTCGGACGCTGGATGAGAGCTTGAGGGAGCTCGAACGCGATGCCAGTCTCTGTAGCGCCCTCAGCAAGCAGGCTGTGGCAACCTATGGGGGACTCAAACGGGGCGAGGCCGAATGGTTTCGGCGGATGGAACCTGAAAAGCAGATGGCTTGGTTGATTTCTAGGTATTAAGGTGGTGGTTTATATTGACTTTTACTTGACTCATTGGCACAGTCGTAATACAATTGACCGCAGCATCATTCCTTCCTGATCTGAATTCCCTTGATCTATAACCCCTCGATCTACGATACTCTTAATCTATGATACTCTAGATCCACAATACACAATAGCTTCGGTCGCCATGGCCCGTAGACATAGTTGCAGACAGTAAACACACAACGGAACCCGATAATAGATCATCGTGGTTCTAATGAAAGTAGGGCGAGCCCTGCAGGTATGATTCAAGCCCTCGATAAATTAGCTCATCTCCGTCGAATCAACATTGAATCCGTTTCATTGCAGTGTACTGTTCTGTTTTTCGAAATCCCCGGACGCTCCATAAAAACGGCCGCATTCCACTGCTGACTATGAATGCAACGCGCACGGTGCCCACTCATCGACAGAGGAGCCGACACGACACCGTGCAAGGGGTATATTGCGCGGTATTCGGGTCTCACCGACATTCGTACGACCGGCGGCTGGTATTCGTCAAATGCTTGTGCATGGAGGGTGGAGTGCGTCGATGTTGAAGGGCTGGCTGAGACTCACCTGATACAGAGTTCGATGACGCGCAGGTGGTTGGACGTTAAGTGTGACGATCGTCGCTGACGACGGCACTTGCATAATGAAACCGTTGCCCTGGCTTCGACACAGCTCTGAAATGGGCCTATGTGAGGCACGGTTACGGGGTTCATTACGTATTCTCCTGTCGACCTCTCCTGGCTTGGTACGTGGGCGGTGGAGTGGCTAACCACGTTGAGAATTGGGGACAGGATGCACATACCGTCGTCTGGTCGATCTGTGTGGAGTATCAGTCGTGGTATCGTTTGTATGGCCTTGGTTGTGTGAGATCGGTACAGTATGGGGTTGCCCTCACAGTGAACATGGGAGGATTGTACAGGGAGATGGTAACTCCCGAACCATACGCGTCTTGCACGGAAACCAACCAGATGTCGCACGCGAGGCACGCTGCTCCCTGGCGGTCAGGGCTTGCTTGGCTTGGATGGGAGGTATAAAAGGGGACGCTCGAGGGCATTGCGAGAAATTCCTATCTCTCTTTTACTCCCTCTTTTCCCATCTGCCCTGGAACGGATGCGCCATTGGACGTCCACGTCGATTTTCTCTCTACCAGTCTAGTTTGTTATAGATCAACCTTGCCCGGCACAATGGCAAGGACCTTTGCGAATGTCGTGCAGACCCTGTCTACTGAGGTAGCTGACCGGCCCGGGCTACAGCCGGCCTTTGAGCAGGCCGTCGCCGACGCTCGAAAGGTGGCCCCGGTCGCCATGGACCGGCACGGCATCGCCTCCCTGACCGACTTCTACGCCTACCTCGACCACCTGTTGACGTGGATCCCCCGCGAGGACAGCACCTCGGGCGTGATGACGGAGAAGATCTGCCTGTTCTACCTCGTGCTCAACCAGCCGTCCGTGTTCGCGCTGCAGACCCCCGTCAGTCCGTCGACCAGTCGGGGCCCGCTCTCCTGGACGTCGCAGTGGATCGTGGACTACGTGCGCTGTCTGGGCGCCTTCATGGACACCCCGGGGTCCGTGACCAAGGAGTCTCTCGCCACCTTCCGCCAGGCGACCAAGTACCGGATGAACGACTACATCGAGCCCGAAGGCGGGTGGAAGACGTTCAACGAGTTCTTCGCGCGGCACGTCAAGCCCGAGTGCCGGCCCGTCGCGGACGCCGCCAGCCCTCACGTCCTGGTGAGCCCTACCGACTGCACGTTTGTCGGGTCGTGGCCCGTGGACGAGCGGGGGTCGGTCTCGTTCAAGGGGATCGAGTGGTCGATCCCGGAGCTGCTGCAGGACAGCAAATACGCGGACCGGTTCACGGGGGGCACGTTCATGCACTCTTACCTGTCGCCGACGGATTACCACCGGCAACACAGCCCTCTGCCGGGTAAGGTGTTGGAGACGAAGATCATCCAGGGCCAGTGCTATATGGAGGTTGGCCACGACGGGGCGGGCGATATGCAGACGAGTCGGCGGGATGCCAAGACCGAGCCGCCGCTGGAGATTGTGGACGGGGATGGGTTCCAGTGGTGCCAGACGCGTGGGCTCCTGGTGCTGGACACCGCCGTGGGTCTGGTGGCGGTGCTGCCTGTGGGGATGTGCCATATCTGCTCGGTAGTGATGACGGTCCAGGAGGGACAGACTCTGGAAAAGGGGCAGGAGATCTCGTATTTCCAGTTCGGGGGGTCGGATATCGGGCTGGTGTTTGAGCGGTCGAGCAAGGTTGATTTGAACGTGACGCCGGGACAGCCCTTGAAGATGGGCGAGAAGATGGGGGCGGTGTTTTCGAAACACCCCTAACCAATGGACGTTTGTGGGGCTGATCTAGTTTTACTTTTGTTTTTTATTTCTTCTGTCACTCGACGAGCCGCTGGGATTGGGGGTAGATTTAGGGGGACGGTTTCTGGGGCTTAAGATAGGGGGGTGGGGGTAATCCGACAAGAGATCGCTGCCATTGGATCAATGTGGTTTTACTTTGGTGTATCCTCTAGATCATGAATTATGTCGTCTAATATATTATTTTTCATTTGTGCCAATTCGTATCGGTAGAGTGGCTGAGGGATATCGGCATAGTACGGCGAATGGCGTTGCTAGGGAGAAACCATCATTTCAGTCACTAGGATACCTCCTTTTCCATTCTCGTGGGTTTTTTAATAATCTGATGAAATCAAAGTCGAGTCCTGTAGAAGAAAGCAGTGGTTTCTTTAGTAGAACTTGTGACTGGTAATTGTTGGTCGTTGTCTAGGGTTGGACTGGTGTGAATATATATATATATATAGAGGAGATAATAATATATCCGGGTGTGGAGAGTTGTATCGACATCTTTAGAGTTATGCATATGGATTTAGGAGAATTCTATACGTGTGCTCTACTCAGCTCTACATCATACTTTCGAAGCGTTCCAGCGGTTGAGCTCCACATATACTTTGGGATTACGCCGCAGTGTGGGGGGGCCAACCATATCACGACGTCTAAAAAGACCAACTATGATAAGCTTCCTGCTTGGCGTCCTACTATACATACCACGATAGTGTTTAGCAACAGAGTATATTATATACATGCTTCCAGGATCCCATTGTTTGTCCCGGTCCATCCACTCCGTACCCTGGATCTCAATGATCTCGACAAACAAACGGGGCAAACGGACTCCGCCCCATCGACATGACGGGAGAAGAGGATCCACTTGGGGGGGTTGATGAAACACTTCTCTCTTGTTTGGTCGGACTTGCTGATATGGAATGATCTTGAGTCCATGGATGGAGATGGTGAAAAGAATAGAGTCCCTGTCGGAATAATATTGTCTAGACTCTCCCCTCATATCATGACTATACGATCAGTACCATGATATTCTCCAGGTATAATGATATAATGATGGGTGGAATATGAAGATGGATGGGTCCCGCATCCTCAGGCCACCAATCACCTTCTCCTCTCCACTTTTTTCTCTCGTTCTTTCTTCTCCACTTCTCTCTCTCTCTCTCTCTCACTCTCTCTCACTCTCTGGCTTCTCTTTCTCCTCTCCTCCTCTTCTTTTCTCTCTTTCTTTCATTCATTCTTTCGTCCGTCTATCCTTTATCCTTCTTCCTGACAGTCCCTGTCTGAGACAGCTCCTGTCAGCCAAAACATCCAAAATCTCCAAAAAACAGCATGATCTAGTCAATCCCCCCCCTTATCCTTCAGTGAAGCCGGGTCCTTCCTTGTCTTTCTTTCTTTCCCTGGTCCAATTTTCTTCCTGGGAATCTGCATCCCAGTCCATTCTTTTATTTCCATTGACCCCCGTCTCTCTTTCTGGTGGTGAGTCTGGCTGTGCCGACCGACTGCCCACCGCACCATGTTGTTGAAACCCGCCACCCCCCTCACCATCCTTTTACTTGTCGCCTTCGCCCTCCTGCTCCTCTCCGTCATCTCCACTCCGATCGTCAAGGGTATCCCTCTCGCCACCTATAATGATGTCGACTATGGCGTCTTTGGCTACTGCAAGAGCGGCGTCTGCACCAATATCCACATAGGCTACACCAAGGGTATCTCTCCTCTCCCTTCTCCCTCTCTCTATCTATACTAATCATTTTTAAAATCTATAGAGGACATTAACAACACCGGCGATGACTTCAATCTCCCCTCCACCACCCGTACCTCCCTCTCCTCCATCCTCATCGTCCACCCCGTCGCCGCTTTCCTCACTCTCGTCTGCCTCTGTCTCGCCGCTGCCGCCCACTTCCACGCCCCGTCGCATTCGCCCCGATACCTCCTCGCCCTGCTGATCCTCCTCCTGCCTACCCTGCTCGTCAGCTTGCTTGCCTTTCTTGTCGACATCCTCCTCTTCGTCCCTCATCTCGGCTGGGGCGGGTGGATCGTCCTCGCCGCCACCATTCTGCTCATCACCTGCGGCATCGTCACCTGCGCCATGCGCCGCACCCTCGTCAGTCGCAAGGCCCGCAAGCGTCGCATCGCAGAGAACGCCGAGATGAGCGGCGAGAACTACTATAATCGCCAGGCCGCCGCCAATGCCGCCCTCAATACCACGTCCATCCCCGTCGAGACCAAGGAGACTATCGTTCACGGCCCCTCGGGCTCTCTCGGCAGCGGCCCCACTGTCGCCACCTTCCGCGCCAGCGACGACGACCGCACCCCGCTCAATGGCGCCGCCCCCGACCCCCCCGTCCTCGACGACGGCGCATACCACTCCCCGCCCCGCGACGACTGGAATGGCCCCTACGCCGCCGCCCCGCCCATGCGACCCCCGCGGGGCCCGCCCCGGGGGCCTCCGCCCTCCGGCCCCCGTGGTCGCGGCGGCTATCCCGGTCGCGGCGGCTGGGGACGCGGTGGTCCGTATGGGGGACCCCGCGGTCCGCCCCCCGGCGCCCGCGGCGGATACGGCCCGCGCGGCCGCGGCGGTCCCTACGGTGGTCCCTACGGCGGTCCCCCGCCCGGCGGATATGGTGTCGGTCCCTGGTCCGGCCCCCCTGCCGAGGAGGACCCCTACGCGTATCGCGGCCCGTCCCCGATGGGCGGCGGGCGCCACCCCTCGCCCGGTCCGATTGGCATGGCCGTCTCGGAGGACCAGGCGATCGAGATGACGCCGCAGCCGCGTCGCATGGGCTCCACGGAGCCGGATCCGGGTCTGTCCGTCAACGCCTACCCGGAGCCTGCCAGTCCTTCCAGCCTGTACAGCCGGACGCCGTAAGCTTTTGAAACCCCTCCACCCCCCCTCCACCCTCTAGACTGCCGTGTTGCGTAGAATGCGCCTGCTTACGCTCAATAGCTCGTACATCCCCGCGCGGGCCGTCTGGGGCCCCGACCTCCGCGTCGGGACCTCTCCCTCGCCGATCCCCATCTACGGGGCGCCCCCGCCACTCTCCCGCCCCTCGCCCTCCCCCGACGAGCCGGACGCCGTCGCGCCCCTCGCGAACCGAACCGGACCGAGCGCGGGTAATGCCCGCCTGCCCAGCGCGCTGATGCCGGGTGGCAATGGTGAGCGGACACCGCTGGACGATGTGGAGGAAGGCCCCAGCTCACCGACTACTAGCGATATAAGCCATTTTACCTCCATTTCGGAGCGGCCGGTCAATCCGCGGTGGCATCCACCGCCGCCGCCCCCGATGCCCACCCGTACGAAGCAGAGTATCTTGTTGGAGAATAATCCTGATTTTGACCTGCGCGTCGGTGCGGGCCGGGGGGGACGCATGCCGGCCACCAGATACCCCATTCCTTGATTTTAAATACCTCTTTCCTTCTTTCCTTCGATCTGTTTATTTTGTGTGTGATGCATTGGGCACATAATGTTACCCGGCGAACCGCCATGCGCTCATGCTTGGAGTTGGGCGTTGGGTGGATATCCCTGTACATATCCAGTAATATATTACATTGAACATGATTATGAGATGAACGAGAGATGTATTTTAGATGGTTACGGTCCATGTTGGACAGGAGTCAACTTTACATGAAGACTCCCCTTGGCCCACACGACAAACGACTTTTGATCGATCCAGTTTTGCGAATCGTCCGCCAGCTCCATATCGAAGTTCCAGATCATGCGTGCTAGAATGAGGCGCATTTCGGCGTAGGCCAGACTATCCTTATTAACACTGCCCTACCAAACGGCGAAAGAATAAGGAAAGGGGGGAACATACTTCTGACCAAGACAGTTGCGCGGTCCTAAACTAAAAGCCTGCACCGCATGCCGCTTGTCGTCTTCGTAGGCCGGATCGCCCATATACCGATCGGGAATGAACTCGTCGGGGTTTTTGAAGTTGTGGGGTGACCGGTGCGTGGCGAGCATGGGGACGCCGACGGATGTCTTGAGCTTATTAGTTCACCATATAGACAGTATCGTAGACAGTATCTTTCGAAGTGTCCACCGGTAGGAAGAAGGAAAGTGACATACCCCCCCCGGAACCCATCTCCCACAGATGAAATCCCCTCCCTCCACGATCCGCGGAAACCCAAACGGCACAGGCGGATACATGCGCAGTCCCTCGTTCAGCACAGCCAGGGTATACTTTAGCTGGTTCACAGCTGCCCAAGTGATTTCCTCCTCAGAGCGAAACGACCCCCTTACCTCCTTTTGCAGTGTCTCCATCACCCCGGGCACGGTCAGGAGATAATACGTGACGCCAGACAACAGCGTAGCTGTCGTCTCCGACCCCGCAATGATCAGCACGTACGCGTTCGAGATCAGCTCGTCCTCGCTCATCCCTTTCTCGGCCGGCTGCTTAAGCACGTGGCTGAGGAAGTCCGCGCGCTCATTATCGCCTTTTTCGATCCTTGCGCGCACCTTCTCCCCCGTCATCTCGTTCTGCGTCTGCTTATCCTCGCGCACCTTTCGCGGAATAATCCACCGCATCAGCTTCTGTCCCCACGGAATCCGTCGTAGAATGTTCGCCCACGCCGCATTGTGGAAGTGGCTGAAGAGCACTTGCACCCAGAAGTGATACTGCGAGTTCTGCAGACAGCCGAAGGAGTCGCCGAATGCGAGGTCGCCGATTATGTCGAATGTTGTGTAGTTGTACCATCTGCTTATATCGACTGTTGCACTTCCGTCCCCTGCAGCTGTGGCAGCACGCAACCGCTCAACAAGTAGATCGATATATCCCCGGACAATCACCTCCTGCCGCTGTAGACTCGCCTCGCTGAACCCCGGCGCCAGGGCCCGACGATACCGCGCGTGCGTGCGGTCGTCCGTCCGCAGCATGGAGGGGATATGGTTCGGTCCGACAGATACATGGCGCTGGTCTTTCGGACGCTGGGGTTTTCCCGGCCGTACGCCGTAGATTTCCTTCCAGGCGGAGGGGTCGGTGAACGTTACTTCGTTGGGGGCGATGCGCACGGCGGGCCCGTATTGGGCGTGGAGGCGTTTTGCGTCGTGGGGAAGGGTGCCCCGCAGGATGGAGCGGAAGAGGGGGAGGGGCGTTGCGGAGTTGGCGAGGGGGCCGGGGAAGGACCGTAGGGGGTGGAAGTAGATGTTGTAGATTATGTAGAGGGTTATTGTTATTGTAGTCTTTACAGTTAGTTTGTGCTGGTTGGGGGAGGGGGGGTGAACTTACGGCGAGGAGGATGAAGCCTGGTATAGCGAGGGGATGATAGTAGAGTCTGGATGAGAGATCCATCATTTTGAATGTCAGGTGGGCGAGAGACATGGTGTCTTATGAATGTCTACTCTCCGCTGGTCAATAATAAGTCAGGAATATAATTTGATATACCTCCCGTTATGAGTGAAGTGGCTGGACTACATATAGTGCCTCGGAACCATCGTCTACGGATGCTACTGTTGGACCTCGACACAAACCCTGATGGACCACACAGCTGAAGGTTGTCAGTTGTTCACTGCACCTTGATTGGTGTGGTGATGGCGGGGTTGTGCGGATCGGCCACGCTGCTACATGGCTACTCCACCCAGTTGGGGTCTAGGATGGAGAGGCAATGTATGTATGTACGAAAGAGGAAGTAGTGAATGCATCTGTATATTTTTTGTATGGTTATATGTGTTCAATCTATGCCAACGTGCCCATGTCGGCGATATACTTCTGCCACATCTCTTCATAAGTGCGAACCGAAATGCCAAATGCTTGACACAGACGCCTCTTGTAATTGCGCTCGTCCGTGCTAACAATGCAGTTGCCATACACGCCTGCTATTACGGCTGACGTGATGAACGCCTCCCTGCGCGTGTTGACCAAATTGTACATGGTCTTGGTCAGCGCGTTGCTTGCTTTGTCTGGTTGAACTGCCTCGTCCAGTTAGGCCACATCCCCAGCCTTCAACTGAAGAACCGTCAGGCAAAACGCAGGCGTGGCGATAATCTTGAAAATATCTGGTTCACTGCGCACAAATTCAGGAAGCCTACCACTAATATGTATTGTCTACTGGATAAAATATATTCATCCTGTTCAGTCCGCATGTCCGCATGATCAACTAGATCTTCCGCGCGTGGGATTGTTGTCCCAGTGAGATCGACGAGTCATGACAATTATAACTGCTCTGGACTCAGAGTAATTGTGACACGTCTCCCTGTATCTCATTTGATGTGTGACAGATGCAGGAAGAATAAGTTCGGTGTTCCGTGACTTGGCAGGGGATGAGCGTGGAAAACTCCGAGAAACCTGCCAGGGGTACCCAAATTGAGCTAATCGCCCATGACCTCGAACAACCTAGTATCACATTATACACAAATCCATCACTATTACAGCCAGACTACGAAGATTTCATGATCTCTGTAGGTTCTGGAAGAACCCTGTCTATAATGCGAGTAATCAACCGAAAGACTCGGGGCTCAAGAGGAAGAGCTCGCATTTGTCCGGCTGGAGATGTTTGTGCAAAGGAGGTCCAGCTCAAGTCCCCACAGGGTCACGAGCTACGAATTTCGTGCGTGTTTATCGTCATACAGATCCCTGGGCTTCGTTGATGGGGTGAGGGGCAGATATGTGGCGGGACCACTGTCGAGGACCGTGAACCACAGGGCCCTGGGAAGGCTCATATATAACTTCCAGATCTTTTAAAGGACCCAGACTATGATCAGTACGCGTCATACATGACAGCCATGAGAATAGACAGTGAGATCTTAATCATAAGTCTAGATATTCATCCCCTGAGTCTTGTACTGGCAGATCACCAATTGTGATGTTTCCTGGATATGAACTAGTGTGATGCAATACTACTACAATAAGCATGATGGCACTCATTCAGTTTTTAGGGGCCGGTCGGTTCTATTAACATGTACCTGAAGATCGGCCAAGTACTAGACAACAAGATCCATATCAATCTCAGGGACCCCGGGCACGTCTCCACAGATCTTGCTTTCAAGGAATATCACATCTGTTGCAAGTCCGGTCTATAAGTAGCTTAGATGAATGTGGTATCATTGTTATATGTAAATGTTATATGAAAAAATGGACGTATAGCAGGCTTTTGTGCAAGACGTCCTTGGATACCCAGAGCAATAGATTTGTGCATTTTCTAGCACTAAAGTATAGAGTAATTACTGATGGTCTAGATGTGCCCTGTAGCTCTCATGAAGCCATTATAGAAGTACCGACACCTGATTTTGTACTATGATATCATGTATCTTCAAAGTCTTGTCTACCAACATAGCTCAATAAAGTTTAGACTATATAACATTATTTCACTGGTAGATTCACTGCTCCACTCAGCCAAGCGATGAACCAATCATTAGCTTTCTACATGCTATGAAGAAGTACCTTATTAGTTCAGGGACTCATGTCATTCTTGATACTTTTGTGATGATCTACAAACTGTGAGCTATCACTGAATATACCGACAGCCGTATCTCATAGTTATACACCACTTCGGCAGCCAGTCAATTTAAAGGTGATCGAAACATTCCTCGAGACTGCTCAACGGGAGATACATTCTTTTCGTCAGCCAAGCATGCCGTCGGGATATCAATCATATCAGGCCCAAGTCCGCAGTTCGGTATTTTCTCATCGATGATAGGATCATATATTTAGACGTTGAACGGGCTAAGAACACCAGGATCATGGACCGTTCCTCTGACTATCGAGTGGCGGAGGATTAGTCTAGACTATCGGTCTTAGCCGGTGATGGCATCATCAGGCATCCAACATCGAGGAGAGCACGGGATCCGTATAAACCCCAACTGCTTTGATCTCGTCCTTCCATGCACACCGAACACATCTCGATGCTAGATTCCAACGGCTTGATAACAATCCCCTATTCACGGTCCCAGTCTCAGTCACGACTGTTCAGTCTAGACGGTCGGTTCGACCGTCAGCGTGGAATGCTCGAAGCTTAGCAGACGAGGAGTCAGCCTTGCCGATCATGCCCGCTCTCATCTAGTCGCCTCGTAAACCGCCAACAATTCGCCAGTCCCTTGAATCCTGCCAGTCTTGGCCCCGAGGCCGGTCGACAGGCGAAGCAGGAATTTTTCCTCTTTCTTCTTTTTGCTTTGCCTGGCCTCGGACGGGGGAGGCCCGTGGACGGCCTTATTACCTGTCAATGTCCCAGACCTCCTCATCCCACAACTCAACCCCACAAGATCATCATGGCGGTCTCCTCTCGCCTGGCTTTCTGTCTCGCCTGGCTGCTCTTCGTGAGCTCCATCAGCGAGGCCGCCAGTCCGTTCAGCACCTTCAAATGGTCCGATCGCACCTACGGTCCTGACGGTCCGTGGTACGCCGTCACCGTCGAGCTGGGCAGCAAACGTCAACCCATCGACCTCTACCCCGGCGACCGGTGGGCCAGCACCGTCCTGCTCGACAATGTCTGCGACAATAAGACCGTCTCGGACGTCTGCTACGCCGAGCGTGCCGGCATGTTCAACTCCAATCGCTCGACCAGCAACGCTCCCGGGGTCGACAACACCTGGGTGACCAGCACCAACTTCGACACCAACCAGGGCACGAAACTGCACCGCGTCATGGGCGACAGTGTCGTCATCGGCGCTACCGAACCCACGCGCAACATCAGCTTCGACGCTGTCAGCGAGGCCTACACGACCTACCCCAACGGCAAGAATTATCCCGTCTTCGTGGGCACCCTCGCTATCGGCGCCCCCCGTCGCTACCACATCGTCGAAGGGTGGCGCTTCAACATGATCGGCGCCTACCTCTACCATATTCCCGCCGGCGAGGCCCAGTTGCCTTCCTACTCCTACGGCATGCACATCGGCTCCGTGGCCCTTGACGTCCCTCCGTCCCTGATCTTGGGCGGCTACGACCGCAACCGCGTGCTAGGCAACGTCAGCCGGCAGCCCGTTGCCCAGGACTCCGGGGGCACCGGCGCCCTCCGCATCAAAATGACCGACATAACCATCGGCGTCGCTGGCGGGGAGTCTCCCTTCAATGAATCCAGCTACAACGGGCTCCTGCAGCGCTCCGGCCGCTCCGACTCCCAAACCAGCCAGTCCCTCGAGGCCGACCTCGAACCCGTCAAGCCCTACCTCTACCTCCCCAAGTCCACCTGCGACAACATCGCCGCGCGTCTGCCTGTCACCTTCGACTCCGGCCTTGGCCTCTACTTTTGGGACACCGATGACCCGCAGTACGATCGCATCGTGGGTTCGGCGGCCTATCTCGGCTTCCAATTCTACGGCAACAGCTCCAACACCAACAAGCTCGAGGTGAAGGTCCCCTTCTCGCTCCTCTCTCTCACCCTGCAGGAGCCGCTCGTCGAACAAAACACCTCCTACTTCCCCTGCTTCCCCTCCGACAGCGACCCCGTCATCCTCGGGCGCGCCTTCCTCCAGGCCGCTTTCATCGCCTCCAATTGGCATGACGACACCGGCACCGGCGAGTGGTACCTGGCTCAGGGGCCGGGCCCCGCCGTCGCCTCCACCCCGGAAGTGACCGTCATCGAGCCGGATGACTCCACCCTCGCCGCCTCCTCGGACACTTGGGAGAGCTCCTGGGCCGACCACTGGGGGGTAGATCTCGGCGACGCAGGAGAGTCGCCCGGAGAGTCGTCCGGAGAGTCGTCCGCCGCGGGCCTGTCCACCGGTGCCAAAGTCGGCGTGGGCGTCGGGGCCGGGGTCGGCGGTCTGCTCCTGATTGGAGCGGTGGCCGCGGCGTGGTGGCTGCTCCGACGGCGTCGTCGGCAACGCGAACAGGCCCAGGCGCTCGCCGCACAGGACGCGACGGCCGGCGGAAGACCGCCACTCTCCGACTCGAAGAACCTGAGGGAATTGGCCGGTGACGGTCGCCCGCACGAGATGCACAGTTCGACGATCTACGAGGCGCCCGAGTCGGATCCCGGGAAATCGAGGCCGTCGGAGCGGTTCGAGTTGGCGTGAGTTTGCTTTGTCTCTGTTGTGTTGATTATAGCGATATCCGTCTTTTATAGACATAGTATAATGAAGCGATACCCAATCTCTGCATTCACGGCGATACCAAATTTGTATAGTTTGAATTAATCAATAGTAGTCATTATATACTTGTCTATATTCATGGTGATACTGGCTAGCACACCTCTATATTAGTATATGATCCGTCTATCGTCTTCTATCAGCGTCAAGTATATTCCTCAAACACCCAACCACACCACCGGTCATTGCTTCTTGGCCTTGCCCGTCTGCCACCAGTACACGCCCTCCTGGCGCTCCCCAGGCCCACAATCCTCCGACACATACCAGCAGCGGTGGAAGGTGTCGACTAGGGACTTGAGGAAGCTCTCGTCCTTCGACTCGTGGTAGTGCTCCTGCAGCAGCGGCTGGATCGCCTCCGTCGCCTCCTGTGCGTGGTAGAACGGAATCCGCGGGAACAAGTGGTGCACCACGTGGTAGTCGATGATCTCGTGCATGAAGTGGCGGCCGATGAAGCCGAAGCTGCGGTCAATGGTGCAGAGCGCGCCGCTCGTGAACGACCACTTCTCAGGGGAGAAGTGGGGCACGGACGGGTGCGTGTGGTGGAGGTAGGTGATTGCCACTGTTATTGTCAGTACTTGCATCATGGACAGGAAAGAACGAAAAAAGACATACCCAGCCAGTGGTGTACCCAGAAATACGGGATCACATATAGAAGAACCACCTTCTGCCACCCGTAGTGCCACCCGACATATCCCCACACGCTCGCCGTCATCAGCAGCCCCATATCAGTCAGGAAGATGAGCAAGCCCTGGCCCGGCACCCAGAGCGTGCCGTTCGGTGCGTAGTGCGACAGGTTGCGGGCCTTGGCCACATCCTCCACTCCTGGGATACTCTCCTTGCCGGCCGACACGTACTGGAACATGTACATCTGCCAGCCGAACAGCTGGTGGCCGAGCAGATGCGCGACGCTGGTGGCCAGCGGGGTCTCCTCGATCAGCTCGTGCACCTGGTCGAGCACGCTGAGCTTCCGGTTCTCCATGAACTCGCTCTCGGTGTAGGGCACAAAGGCCGTGTCGCGGGTCAGATGCCCAGTGTAGCGGTGGTGGCGCGCGTGCGTGATCTTCCACGAGTAGTAGGGCACCATCAGCGCCGAGTGCAGCGCCCAGCCGACGAAGTTGTTCAGTCGCGTTGACGGCGAGAAGGCACCGTGGCCGCACTCGTGGGCCAAGATCCAGAGTCCCGTGCCGACGCAGCCCTGCAGGAAGGTGTAGAGCGTCCAGGCGACGATGCGCAGCGACCCCGTGGGGATCGAATCGATGTAGGAGGCGGCGTAGATGAGAACCCCCGCGTAGAGGACATCGCGCGCGACGTACAGCAGCGACCGGGTGGCCGAGCGTTCAAAGCAGTGGTCTGGAATGGCGTCGCGGAGGGCCCCCAGCGTGGGCTGCTCCGTCTTGAGCGAAACCATCACGGGCGTGGACTCCACGGTGGAGGTTTGGGTGGCCATGGCGAAGGATGTAGTCGTAACTTGACGACAGACGGGGAAGGGTCTCGTTTCATTCTTTTTATCTCTTGACCGTTGGATCCTGCTAGGCCCGAATTGAACAGTCTCTGTTTCTGTTTTTTTTTATTTTTTTATTTTTTATTTATTTTTTATTAATATCTTCTATTTTTTTTTTGCCCTCGCCTAATAGCGTGGACCTGATATCGACGTGCTAAGCCTGGGATGCTATCTAAATAGATCCACCTCTGGCCGGTGATCCCAATCAAACCCCCCGGAGGCGTTGGGTGGGATCCACCGGTCATGACGGGTCACAGTAGCTCAGTCCCCTATCTTTAGCTGGCTTTCTCTGCTGAAATTGTGGTTATTGACGGTATGGACCGGATGACAGTAATATTCTCGAATCCCTCATTGGCATTCCCCATTACACTCCCGTTAAGCTATGTTTACTCTAACAGGGTTATCTTATCTGGCATCTCATGCGCTCCCACTCTGCTCTCCTCTATTCTCGGGCAAGAAGATCAATTTTTCCATGACAGATACCTCGGTCGCCACTGACTAGGAAGAAGAATCAAGAGACCCAACCAGAACGATTTCACAAGGGGACAAGCTGACCAGTCAAATGCGAAGTCGCGGCTCGGGTCTCCTATTTCGGGCCCGGTGGGTCGCGGCCTTTGCCAAGGGCGTTGAGGTGAGATCCCTAGCTTGTCTCGGATTCTGTGGAATTGTCGTGAAAATTTCGAATCCGCGTGAATTTCTCGTGACACGTGCAAATAGGGACCCGTGGATTTGAAGGATCGGAGAGAGGATTCTTCTGGATGGTCTTCCTGAATCCCATCTGCGAATGGCGCCAATGCTGGGCTCGCATGTGATGGTCACTTAAACTTTCCTGACTCCCATGGCTCGAAGATAACCCCTGACTCTGATCTGTCGGATTCTCAACAATACCCCGGTGGATCCCGTGTCTCTTTCTTCTTGCAGCTAGCCTGCCTCCTGTTTGTCGGTCTGGCGATCATGAATCTTCCAGATGGTTAGGGCTGTCGGGGAAGCCCTAACTGGATGCACTCAACCCGACCAGTTCAGTCTGCAACGAAGGGTCAAACCCCGGCAGATCCTGGAAACTCCGTCGGCAGGGTGCATCGATAGATCGATCACCCCTGCAGCCCGTCACACTGGATCCGAAGCCGTCCGAAGCTCCGACGGGCGCAATGGAGACCAATGTAAACATAAACCAGGCCATTCCCAACCAAGACCGGGACAATCCACGCAGAACGGTGTCACAACAGGAGACGACACCCTTTTGAGGGCCGCAAACTCGGAACGACACCCTCCCTCTTGAGCTTATTCCCGGCCTACTGGTCCCCGGCTCATTGACCACACCCGTCGTTCCGGCGGCACAAACACGGCGTACTACCGTGGCATTCCAATTCCAGTAGCATGGACGATGTGTCATTAGCGGATTGCAGCGCAGTCTGCAGAGCTCGCGGTACACGAAAATGAAGATAATCACAAGGATGGGCGCGCTGACATACGGCGCCAATCTACAATAGGAAGATCGTCGCGTTCTTCCCTTCCCCGACGATCTGGTTCAGGTTGCGCCGCATTTGATTGCCCGGCCGATCAGGTTCTTCCGACAATGCCAATTGACTGGATGCGAATTAGAAAAGCCCGCAGTATATGATAAGAATCACAGTCGGCGCAGTAGGAGGCTATTGTCCAAGCCCATAGGTGGAGGGATGCGGGCTCTTCGCGGTCAACATCGATCTAATTGTACAGACAATGTACAGTCCCAAACCTGCGCTGATGACCCTACAACCTGACCTCAGGTACCCCACGTTGACCTACACGAACACAGTCAGCCCCGTCTAGTTCACCACTTCCGACCAGTGGTGCACGGTGGTGTTGCTCACAGGTTCCAATATGGCCGCGCAGGTCAAGACCGCGCTGCTGAATTAGCCATCGATCCTATCAGGACGTCTCACCCAAACCTAGTGCGGGAGGCGGCACTTGAAAGAGACTACCGTCAGACTGGTCACCACGACCAGACACGACATCCGCATCCCCAAGTCGATGTCAGCGTCGCGACCGCATCCAATATAACGAACACCAAGTAGAACTGCAGCTGCACTACCACCAGTATGAAGAACTGCAGCATTTCACGAGAGTTGATCCCGAGCATGTGGATCCGGTAGATGCTGGAGTACTGGGCCGCGACAAAATTGACCAGGATGAGACCTAGCCCCGCCCCTTCAACTCACAGCGGCAGTTGAATGTGATGATAGACCCGCTGGGATGGGCCTGCCCGACAGCGATCTGGGGGATGATGGCAGGGATGGCGATGACGAAGACGGTGATCAAGCAAGGGATAAACCACTGCAGGCCGTATTTGTAGGCGATCGAGCGATATCACAGCAGTTTTCCTTGCCGGTGACAGTCTCCCATAGTCGCCAACAGGTTGCTATCTGTGACGGGCACCGTGCGCGTTTGTCGTCCGACTTTTGCGGCAGTGGGCGATCACCTTGATGACCAGTGTGAGGTGCTGTAGCGGGGCACCAGGAGTGGTTCAGTAGATGTTCGTCGTAGGTAGAGCTTTTGCGGAGAAGAATGGGAGAGCATCGCGCTGCGGGCCTGAGATCGCTCCTCCTCACCCGTCCCAACTCGAGCCTCGAAGTGCTCGGGACAATGCAAGGAATGCGCGAAGATATTTCTTATCCAACCTGCTAATGTTACCAAGCCAAGCGCTTGGGGGTTGTAATTCGACTAAATTCGCTTCTTGTATTTATGTATACGCGACAAGTATGAAGAGCTAGTGACCTAATTACGAAAAACAAGGCAAGAGATCTAATTCTAGGCTCTTCTGCTATTTGGACCGTGAAGAAAAGCGATGTTCAATATGTCAAATTGGAAGGACTCGCAGGGGCATGGTTACATGCAGATCTCCCATTGAATAGATCTTATTGCTTTCAGCCCTCAGTCATTTACTACATAGGACCCATAGCTACCGCCTCAATGTTCAATCGTATCCTTTCCATATCTTTATTGTATACCATTGAGTATCATCTATACTTTGTGCACAAGAATGTAGTGCTCAGCACACTCGCCATGTGAAGCTAAATCTAATCGAGATATCCATTCTGTTTACTAAAACTTCCTTTCTTTACGGAATATGACCATGACAGAATCAAGGAAGACAGCAAAGTCTCCTTCCGAGTCGAAACCCAATTACAACCCCGAGATAGTTCGTGACGCTTCTTATCAACGGCGTTACTTTGATCTAGCACTTGTCAGGACAAATCCTCGTCCACTGCTCTGATGTGTGGCAGCTATTTTCTTACCCTGTCTCGGCGCGGAAAATGCAATTATTTATTTCAGGACATGTGGCAGTGGTTGTTAGATTTCCCTGGAGTAGCCTTGCATTTATCAACAGTCCTGTCCAGTGCTTGTGCTATACGGGGCAAGATCTATTCCTAAAAGGAGTTCATGGAGCAAGACCGAGGTTATCAAGAGGCTCGTTATCAAGAGGCTCAAGTTCTGTGGGAATTGAATTACCAAGGAGTCGATGCTGCGACCCTGTCAATGTTCGTCAAGCGTAGGGGTTACTTCAGTAAAAGCGGCGTTATCATGTCTTCCCACTGTAGATATATGTTCTCGTCTCTGCTAAACGATAGCAATGCATCGAGCGCTCTGACCTCCTCACCATGCGGAAATCTGAATCCAACTTGGAAGTATTTGAGGCTGAGTGTATGTTCATTGTGCCTCCACAGGATACATCCCCTTTCATATTTGGTCGAAATGCCTAATGCTGCAACTGCTCATCAGAAAATTGGGATCCTTACTTTTAACCATTTTGCAGAAGGGTAGTATGTGGTTGAGGAGTGGAAACCTGTTAAGACCGACAGTGGGGGCTAAATATATCAAATCTTCGCCCTTGATATATACCTATTTCATTCACTGATACAACAAACCACATCTTCTACGTTGAGCTATTGAGAGATTATGATTAGTGACTGCTTGGAATAATATTCTTCTGGGTACAATGCAATTATATATAAAGACCATATCACTGCATCTGAGCTAGTACATCAGGTTATGTGAAGGGGCCCGAAGTTGAACTCACCTGAGACACTACCCTACGGATTCTCCCTTCAAGGTTGTGTGTAAATCTGTTGACCAACATGAACCCAAAAATTGCACTGTCCCATCCAGACACCTACACTTGCAAAATGGCAGAAGAGTGCGCCAAGAAGTGCGAAGTCTGCTTTGAAGTGCTAAGCCACTGCCAAGATGGCGGGCCTTGGCCTATACATATTATTACTATCCAGTAAAATCTATATATTTGGACCCCATACCTGGAACTACGCCTTGCTGGAAAGGCGCTTCCACCTAATCAAGTGCTGATTTCCCTTGTCGAAAAACCTAACCCGTCTGGGGCTTATAGGGCTGGGGCATCTCCCACCACGGTGTCCACTAGGAGTAGCCGCTTATGCCAAGTCTGACACCGCTGCGGCCTGATTGTTACATCCGGTCTGCAGCCTAAGCCACCGCGCTGGCCACGGGACATGGCATGATGACGATATTGGGGTATCGGATAGATGCCGACTGCCAACCGTCTGGTCAGGATCGGACATAAATACGAGGTCGTTTCTTCAGCATGATCGGACTTGCAGAATCAATCCAAAATATATCTAACCATGCATTCCACCGTGTTTATGACCTATCTACTGGCTCTATGCAGCCCAGCCCTGGCCCAGCAGTCTTCCGCTGGTGACTCCGGAAACTGCACCATCTTCAACTGGGACCACCAGCGTCCCACCCTCGGCAAGCTGCCGCCACAGCGCGTCAGCGGCGCCCAAACATGCGAGACCAAAAATAACGGCACCTGCGCCTTGACCGCCGCTGGCGACGCCCAGTTCGAGGCCACGAAGAACATCACCACCCTGCGGGGCCACACCTACGCCGACCTGGTGCAAGAAGCCGTGGGCAAAGACTCCGACATGCCCGCCCCGTCGTTCAATCAATCCGTTATCGGCGCCATCGACCAAACGCGCTCCCTCCATAACGGCCAGTCGGGCTATCTAAACTTCACGGCCGCCAGCTTTTGCTACTCCGGCACGCTGGACAACTGTACGGGGGCGGTACGGAATGGCACGGCGGTGGAATTCTGCGCCCCCGTGTGGCATGACGCCGGGGTCGTGTCGGGTGATTACAGCATTGTGCGGATCGACAAGGACGACGTCGACCGGTACTCGGACCCCTATGAGAATCAGTCGTCTGGCAAGGACGAATCGGGGTCCGACAAGGGCGAATCGGGGGCCGGTCGGAGCGCAGCAACGCAGTCGGCGATGGCCGCGGTGGTCCTGGGCGCGATATTGATGGCGGTTGTATGAGTGTCTTTTTATGAAATCGGGACGATTGCAAATTCATTCTAGAAGTGTAGATTATAGACGGTCGCTAATGACACCATGGAAGCCATGCCTGTACTCATACGCCCGCATATGTAGACGCCTAAATTATATTCCCTTTTGTGTATATACCCCTCTATCCTACCCGAACTGATCATTATCGTGTCGTGATCACGCTCTATGTCTATCAGCACTGTCAACAAGACAACTGGGTCTAGCACCGAAGGGTCTGGGAGAGGACACTTACGAACTCCTTCACCATGCGAATCTCGCCCGGCCGTCCCGAGTCAACACTCTCTCTCGGGAGCGTGGTGTTCCGGACCACCCGTGCGCCTGCCCCGCCGACAATGTCCGTATTTCTCGAGTGAAGCTCGAAGTCAAGATTCTGATACAATCCGCGTTGAGGCGGGGACACGGGCGTGTCGCTCCACAAGCGGGGTTTGGCGGGAGTAGAGGATGTTCCACTTTGGAGGTAGGGGCCGGCTGACCCGGACGTGTATGGGGCGAAGGACGGATGGCGGGAGAGGAAGATCTTGAACGGGGGAAGGCATCCGATGATGACCGCTGATAGAGAGTTAGGTAAGGGCATCTGGTTCGTCCCGGTGATGGGGGTTGAGAGGGCTTACAGATGCTGGATTCGGCGATACTCCAAATGGCGACCCCGGCCATGTCGGTGTAAGCCTTGCCGCTGATCTGGATGGCGCGCACGACGGCCGCGGCGACAATGATGATCCCCAGACTAAAGATGACGCCCAGGCTGAGCCGCTCGCGCCTGTTGATGCGGGTCCCACACACGATTGTGACCCCAATGCCCATGACTGTTTCAAATACTGCGTTAGCAGTCCGTTCGACGGGGCGACGGATAGGTGGACCTACTCATCACGTCCGTCGCGATATCGACCGCGGTGCTGAAACAAATGCTGATGAAGGAGGTGTGCTTGTCAATTTCCCGGCCACATCCGCCTAAGGACCTTGGGTTAGAGTCTTTCTCCAAACGGCTATAATTTTCCCCGCGAGATCGTACCGAGCTTGAAATAATCCGAGGGAGGATGGCAGTTCAGGGCCGACAGCAGCCAACACACGACATAGGAGCTCACAACGAACCCAGCCACGACCCACCAGGCCCAGATGTACCGGGGCAGACCCTGCGTAATCATCCAAAACAGGGCCAGGAAGGAGCCCTTGATGCTCCAGAGCACAGACCAAAAGATGCCGATGATGGCGAACTCATACTTCTTGTACAACACAACGTGGTCCGCGATCTCCGGGCCTGTCGGACTTAGGGCCGTGTAGTACAGGTGCGGTGTCTGGATGGTCTGCAGCACGGCATTGGTGATCAAAAAGGCCAGCGCGACGAGAACAAAGTAGTCGTCTGGGTACAGCCGTTTCAGTCGACTGAGGCGGATGGCGAGACGAATGGACACGAATAAGACACCCAGGCCGACGCCAATCCAAGTGACAGCAATCAGACCATCTGGCGACAGTTTACTGGCGATGGGCTGTGCGGTTCCAGTAGCAGCCATCTTGAGTGCATGGGGAGATAGGGCTCAGCAGCCGGCGTGGGACGGTGGAGTTGGATGCTCCCCATCTTACATACTTCAGACTACCGTCTCCTCCAGCTCAGCCCCCTGGCATCCTTCCAGGGTATCATTCATCTTCACTCGCATTCCCGGGTGCCGGGCGAAGTCTAATGTGCATGTGTGAGGGTGGGTGGGCGCTGAGCGGCCGGATGAGGGGATCCTGGCATCCTCTCACCCTAGGAACGTGTCCCAAGACAACAAGGACGCCATGGCGTTCGAAATTTCCGTGCTGGTTTCGGATTTATTCCCATGATCGCCGTAAAAGGAGAAATGACCGGGGATGGTATTGGTGGGCGCCCGCCGACAGTATGAACCTAGACATGCAGGGGCGGGCCACAAGTAGGGTGAAAACCCACGGAGGTTATCGGTCATGCCCACCGGACCTGGGTGATCTTTGTAGACGGTTACAGTGAGCGAACATCTGCCGTGGATTGCGTATGATACACACCCATAGAGTTCGAGATGAAACTGCTGGCAGATCGCGGACCAGAAGCCATGAACGCTTCTAGATAGAGCGGGGTTCCGCCGGGGGCAAGCACAGGACACAATGTCCGTGATGGAACATGGGTCTGAGACCCTCGGGGTGGCCCACTCGCGTCGAACTCCTGTTGGTCATAGGTTGCATCCTGGCTGGAACGGGGTAGGTGGAGAAATTGAACCGTGGGAAGAACCAGTCCGCATTGTGGCGAAGGTCGCTTGTCACTTAGCGGATGCCCTAATCGGGATCGGCAAATGAGACGCAACCACCAAAACGACCGTCTGGACAGGGATCAATGATGAGGTTACCTTGAATAGATGCTCGTTCCCGCGTAAGCGAAGAGGATGTCTCAGGATAATAATTGTCAACGAGGATTAATGTCGGCGTGGTATATATGCGATGGGAGACCACGACCTCCTCGTTCCTCGCCCTCGGGAGGTGTTGTCCCTCGCCCTCGGGAGGCATTGAGCGCCCACCCCCCCGGGAAAGAGCTGTGCCATCGGAGATTCTGGCTATTTAGGAGTTATATATATCCATCGGTCGAACTAAACGATCCAAGACAGGACCGCACCATCGCTAGTCGCAGTCGTAGATCAGACCACCGGTCGCCGTAGTGCCTCATCTCCCCTGAAGACGGATCCGTATAAGTAGCGAGCGAACAGCACGTAGTGCTCATTTAGCCGTCAGACCGGCCGCGAGTCTCTTTCTCTCTTTTTTTTTTCGTGCGTCTGTCACTCTTTGATTCACTCACTGATCCACTCGTTTATCCAATTGGTTCATCTTTCTTTCTTTTCCTTCTTTTCCCCGTGTTTTCCCCGAGTTTGAGGATGAGGCTGGAGATTTTGATCGTGTCCGCTCTGAGTGGGCTGGGCTCCGCGACTGGGATTGGGAGTTGCAGATGTGTAGGTGGTGGGAACCAAAGTCCCTCTATAACCCTCTGGGTTTGATCTGACCTCTAGGTAGACTCCAGAGAGCTCCTGTTGGCCGTCCATGGAAACGTGGAATAGCTTGAATTCCTCGGTTTCAGGGAAATTGATCCGCAACACCCCCCCGGCCATCTCCTGTTACCCCGGCACCTACTACGACGAGAAGGAATGCGCCGAGGTGCACCGGCGCTGGTACGATTCTCGGTTTCAATCGGAGCAACCCGTCGGATATGTTTATCCCACCAACGATCCCTGCCCCTTGGTCGATGTCGGTGATGGAGAAAAGCCCGGCAATTGCACCCTCGGCCCCGCCCCTGTCTATACCATCAATGCCACCAAGACCGAGGACCTTGTTGCGGGCCTGCAATTCGCCAAGGAAAAGAATATCCGCTTTGTCCTGCGAAATACAGGCCATGATCTCATCGGAAAGTGAGTACGCCCGCGTTTGGCTAGCTCGGGAGGATAAATCGGTGTTGATTGACTGTGCTATAGATCCGAGGGCTATGGCGCCCTGCAGGTCTGGATCAAGTATATGCGGGATGGCGTCAAGGTCCATGATAAGTACGAGCCACCGGAGGGATGTACCGCGTCGGATTGGAATGGCCACGCCATTACTGTCGCCGGTGGCTATGTCTGGGAAGATGTGTACAGTGAAGCATTTTCCCGGAACTTGACCGTCGTCGGTGGGGGTGACCCGGTAGGACCTTCTGCATAAGTCTCGTCAAACCTCACTGACCTAGTATATTCGGAGGTGGACAGACGGTGGGTTGCATTGGCGGATATATACAAGGAGGAGGCCATTCCCCAGCGAGCCGGGACTACGGTCTAGCTGCCGATCAGATCCTCGATGCGCAGGTCCTCCTAGCCAACGGCACCACGGTCACGGCCAGTGCCTGCCAGAACTCCGATCTGTATTTCGCTCTCCGTGGAGGTGGCGGCGGAACTTATGGCATCGTGCTGTCAATGACGATCAAGGCCTATCCCTCCAAGTCCGTCGTGGCCCAGTCGCTGGCCATCTTCCCCCTCACGGACAACGTCGATCCCTTGCTGGAAGCCATCACCGATATCCACGAGCAATATCCTGCCATTAACGACGCAGGGTTCTCGGGATACGGTAAGTGGTCGATCAATGCTCCCCAGCCCCTGGCTGGTAACGAGACCGTCGGATACGTGCACGCCATTGCTCTGATGGGGAAGTCAAGGGAGTGCGCTGAGGAAGCGTTCGCGCCGGTTCTTGACAAGTTGCAAACATACAACGGCACCTCCCTCTCCGTCAGAGTCGACTGGTTCGAGTTTCCCAGCTATTCCGCATACTACAAGGCCATGTCTGGGAATAGGGAGGCGACCGGGGGAGGAAACTCGGCCTTGACCTCCCGCATGTTTGACAAGAAGGCGCTCACGGACGATCGAAAGGCTCTGCGGGAGATGATTGGCACCATTGCGGGGGACCCCAGGGAATATACGATTCTGAACATCGAACTCAACGGTGGTGGCCAGGTCGCCAAGCCGGATTCACTTTCGGGGTTGAACCCAGCGTGGCGATCTGCCTACATGGTCGAGGTGGTTGCCAGGGGGTGGCCCGCAGATGCGGATGAAGCCACCAAGAAGTCCGTCATCGCCGACATCTCCTACAACAAGAACTGGGCGATGAGACGTCTGACCCCATCGTTGGGGAGCTACTTGAACGAGGTGGGTTCTCTCTGCGTGCTGAGAGGTACCGCCGCCATGAGGATGGCAAATACTAACGCGTCATATAGGCCGATCGGAGAGACCCTCTGTGGGCGACGGATTTCTACGGAACCCACTACATTCCCCTCAGTATTATCAAGAGAAAGTATGACCCCACCGATTTCTTCTACTGCCCAACGTGCGTGGGGAGTACCTCGTGGTACCAGGAGTACCTGCCAGGGCAGGACTACGGTCCGCTGTGCTCCACCGGATTATAAACCAGGGGCAAACGTGTTGTACCATAATCCATCGGTAGATCCAAACAGAGTTCGTGCTTGGGCCAAAGCTTGTACCTCGTCGACCCAACGTGGCCAACCTTCTAGAATACGCGTAAGGAGGATGACGCCGCTGGGATTGCGAGGACCATGGATAGGGCTACTCCACCCACCAACCCTAATTGGCCGGTACCTCACGAACCTTTCTCGGAGTGGCAATGAGCTACTCCTTTCTCCCCCGGGTCTTCCGTAGATGGAAAAGAGCCCCTGCCTTGTTCCTTTGTTGTGTATATGATGGATAGCTTCAAGAGTCGATCTGGGCAGGGGCGAGGTCTCCACTTGCCTGTTCCTTCCTTTGTAATCATGGTCTCGACCGCAACTCAAACCTCTCATCCCTTGCCACCGTGAGCAATAAATAGGCTTCTGTATCCTGCCTATCATTCGTTTCATTCTCAAGCACAGTCTTCTGAATACAAAGTCATTCACTTTACTACCAATCCTTTCTCTTCTCTTCGAGGTTGATCCTCCAACTGTCATTCACTTCATTTGTGCTTTTGTCTCTCTGTTGATCAGACAGACCTTCTTCATTCCTTTCGAGATCCTTTCTCAGAGTCAAACTTCGTTTCAATCACCTCATTCAAAATGTTGTTCAACAACGGTCTCTTCCTCGGCGCCTTCGCCATGACTGCTACAGCCCTCCCCCACGTCCAGCAGCGTGATGCCACCCCCAGCTCCACCAGCAGCGCATCTGCTAGCCCTAGCTCCAGTGGCGGTGCCGGCGGTGGTGGTGGCGGCGTCCAAATCGTCAACAACATGAAAGAGGACGTCAACCTGTGGACGACCGACGACAGCGCCGGTGATCAGCAGCGCCTCTCCGGCGGCGGTGGCACCCACGAGGAGAAGTTCAAGACCAATGACAACGGCGGCGGTATCTCCATCAAGATGTCCACCACCGACAGCAAGGACAGCGTCCTTCAATTCGAGTACACCGGTGATGGTGACCAGGTCTTCTACGATCTCTCCTCCATCAACATGGAGCCCGAATCCGCCTTCGTCAAGTCCGGCTTCTCCGTCCAGCCCGACGACTCCAGCTGTGAGCCATCTACCTGCGAGCCCGGCGATGCCGACTGCAACGAGACCTACCAGAAGCCTGATGACGACCACAACACCAAGGCTTGCTCCGCGGACGCCACCTTTGTCGTCACTCTGGGCTAAGCCACAGGGATGATGGTCTTTTGATTTTCCGTCCGGGGGATCGGAAATGCTAGTTTAAGCCACAGAGCTCAAGACAGGTCTTGGCTTACGGCCCGGTTGAGTTGATCTCCCTCATGTGTTAGATTATGTATCTAGGTGTTGGTATTCTGGTTCTGGAACCTGGTAGAAGGCTAGATGGAGTTATAGATTTTACAATGATAGAATAAAAATGACTTATGTCTCAAACCAAATCCTATACTACGTAACACAGTAGTCACAAGAAGGGAAGTACAATTAATACGGCAAATGATGGAATGAAGACAAGATGGGTGGTAGCTTGAAGGATCCAGAAAATAGCCTTTTGACTGGCACAGACATCCAGGTTTTGGTAATGGTGGCGATATGGACCAACGGAGAAACATAGCCGGCGGATATGCCACAAACGCCGTAGGATATCTTGGTTACCAAGTGGCGACCTGTTGTATGGCGGGAAAAATCGACCCCAAACTGATTCTGAAGCTTTGGTTTGGGCGCTGCTATATTTGTCTAATTTTTTAGGACAACTTTTATTCTCAAGATTACTTTGGTAGTAGCGCGATCGGATGTGTCGTAGGTTTGGATCCGATATGGAGTTTTATATCTAGAGGGGACCTTCATTGCATATGGCACGAATGACTGAGTGGAGTAGTTTGCTGTGCACTAATATTTTATATAATATTAATCATGTTGTTATTCCGTACAACATTGTCAAATAGCGCTCAGTGGATAGTCCTTATATTGGTTCATCGAGAATGGTAGGTTGAGAAATATATAACCTGGATAAATCCAGACACCAAGACAAGTACTTAGATAATTCTTTCACTAACTATAAGACATGGTGCAGTTAAGCTAGATGGGCGAAAAATCACAACTATTGTCAATTGGGACATGATGGTCCTAAAGCACGTCGACAACAGTATATGCCAACAACCACCATGAGTGAACCACGTGATAGAACCAACGTCAAAGTGTTTTAACCAACTGACTTATATCCAGAGGCTATTGGAAACTAGTAAATCTCTTATCTTTAATGGCGAACGTTCCATTAGAAATTAAAAAGACTATAGATATTGACGTCATGACATGTCGAAGCAGCCTGACCTCGGTAGGGCAGCACCCTAGCCTAATTCCAAGGATCAGCATGAAGATTTTGGTAGAGTATGCCATACCTGTTAATACAGGCCGATAGTGGCAAATTTGAACAGTCGACGGACCTCCGAGCGTCATCCCTTCATAGCGCCACATTAGTTTTAAGCCTTCAAGTCATCTACCATTGACATCACAGCAGACATCCACTCGGCCCTCCGGGCTTTTCCCATTACGGTATTTCGCCAACCGTGAAAGGTCCATGATTGATGTCCATGAGAGGCTAGCACCTGGTTCTTCCCTAAACGATGTCGGTCAGCAGCGATGGCGAGATTGCTGAACCCAATTCGAAACCAACCTACCGTAAAAACCCGCGTGCTTGAACCTTGGTATCCATGAACTCATGGTTCTCGCCAAACATGGTATCGAGGTAGTGGATATTCAGCAGATGGCCACTTCGGTCCTGTTGAAACACCTTTCCCGAAAACAGGTCGTTCGCGGCGTACCTGGCCGTCGGGGATGTGCACTGCAGCACGCCAATGTTCGCCACAAAGTCATTCTTGTTGGCGTAATGCTCGATGTGCTGAATTACGGGATCATCGCTATCTTCTCGTAGGTAGGGGTTGCGAAAGTGCCTGGCCGCATTGCCGAAAGTATAGATCTCCAGCTTTCGCAGCGTCTCGTTGGCGAGCTCCCCATACAGCCAATCCAGGATGGAAGCTACCTCGATACCGCCCTGGGAATGGGCTATCAGAACGACTTTGCGTGTTTCCGAGGCTCGTAGCGCTGACCGAAGCTGGGCCCTCCCTTGTCGGATGTCCCGGGTCTTGTAGTCGAGGTCGCGTTGAATGAGGCTTTCTAAGAGGTCTAGAATCAAACCCTTCCTGATATAGTCTGTAAGCATCACCAACAGCAGTTTAGAAGTCACAGGAAACAGCGAACAGGTCTACAGACGATGGATTATGAATGCCGACTATCTCCCGATGGAAGGTATTGGCCAGCAAGGTTAGATTCGATTGCAACCACGATCGTCTGCACAGAATATCAGCTTGGTCACTGGAATTACAAAGTGGGGCACTACCCAGTGCAGATCCCATTGATAAAGAACCACAATTCCGATTTATCGTTGACTGGAGAGATGCCGTTCTCGGGCACCCCGACCTGACAGTCGGCTGACGGCTGTCCGTTTAGCAGTCGTAATATTGCCACAGTAACAGCCCAGGCTATGAGGACCAACCCTCCCGGAAAGATACCGGGGAGAAACCAGAAGGTGAAAAGGAATACAACAGAAGCAAGCAGGAGCAGGCTCTGAAAAGCCACGAGAATGGCGTGAAGAGTGATATCTTGGAGATTGGGATAATTGGGATATAGCTCATCCAATGGCCCTGATGGACATGGACTGTGAAGGGTCATAATGTATATCAACAATTTGTCCAGCCTGAGGACCGACACGAGGTCTTCCAGAATCAGGCGGACTGGGTTCATATCCATGTCCGATGGGATCAGTAAGAAGGGGTTTTTGTGTACCTTCTCGTTGGCGATGTAGGATGCCATGATGCTTGATAGATCCTTATACGAAGGTTTCTGTTCGAGGGAGCAATATTGGTTGGTATTGGGTACGGATTCCCTATTATATGGCCCGAAAAAATGCACGGAAGGGAGAAGAATGAAAATAATGGTATGAACCAATATGGCATCACGGGCATTCGGAACTTTGATGTTCAGCCGTTGAGTCGGTGGCTTGCCATATTGAGTTGGCACCGAACTTTAATGAATAAGCCGTCAATTTGAACGGCAACTCTGCGATTCGATGATGTATTCAATTCGTTGCTAGGAATGTATATCGATGCGAATGCGACATCTTATCGCGAGAGTAATGGGCGGCATTGTACGGATCTAATATGTCTGCCAATCCATGTATTCTGCGTCCAAATCTGCCACTTTTCTCGCGAACCGATGGATGGCCAATCAGTGGACGAGAGATCGATGACGTCCTAGTGTAAGCGGCTACCATTGTGACTTTTGTGGCAGGAGTATATCTTGGCTGGTTAGGTTGTATTTGAGATAGACTCACCGGCAAGGGCTGGTTCATGCATAAACCTCCAGAAGCCACATCGTAAGTGTTGAACTTACTTCTGCGTAGCCTCCGAAGCCTGCGATAAATGTGACTGAGGCATCTATAGCAGTTGGGTATATATGTCCCAGCGGGTGTAGCTTAGTTTTCCGCTGCCATGAAGGGCATGTAACAAGCACGTCCACTCCCACATACCAGTTGGGAAATAGAAGAAACGATGCCAGACGGTATGACGAGCACTCATCAAGGGTTGATCCGCCTTCTTGACGAAGTCCGTGAAGACATTGTCAGTCAGGTTGGCCGTGTTGGCCCTGATTTCGAGACTTTTGAAGGCCTGAGCTCGACAGTCTTAGCAGGTGGGATCATCGACGACCGCAAATATCTGGTAAGTTTGCTTGTCTTTGGTATCTGGAAAGACATGTTAACCAGGGCTTCAGATAGAAGAATCATTCAAGCAGCTGCCTCGTTGCCAAATGACTCGAATCTTCGTGACAAGATAACTGATGAATTTGTGAAAACATTGTGGAACACACTGGAACACCCGCCCTTGTCCTGGCTGGGAAATGATTTCAAATATCGTGCAGCTGATGGGAGTAATAATGTACAGTTGACCTCTCTCTGTCACGCAACAAAGTTGGACCACTAAGCAACGACTATAGAATGTCCTGTACCCACGTCTCGGAGCGGCGGGAAGCCACTATGCCCGCAGTGTCACTCCGCAGCATCAACGGGTCTCATTTTCGATAGTGGGTTCTGATATATGACTCCATATAACCTGAAGATTAAGACTGACTGTCTAGTAGCCGTCCTTGCTAGGGACGGCCCTGCTAGGAAACACCCGACCGGGGTGTCAGCCAACCTGTTTTACCTTGCGACGATAATCATACACGGCAAGATTTCCAGTCTGCCATTATACAGACAATACACTAACAAAGTTCCTCAAGATCTTTTCCATACGGATGAAAATGATGGGACCCGGTTGATGAACTCCTCATACCTGGACCTCGGCCCCCTGTACGGCCACAATGCGGAGCAGCAGAGTCGGGTCCGGACATTCAAGGACGGACGGCTGAAGAATGGCACATATTCTGAACAGCGACTGTTGGGTCAACCACCTGGTGTCAGTGCTTTTCTTATTGCCTTCAATCGTTTCCACAACTACGTCGTCGGAGAGATGGCCCTGATTAACGAGGCCGGGCGATTCAGCTTGCCAGCAGGACTGACTCCCGAAAGTTCGCAGTACGCTGCAGCAGAGGCAAAGCGGGAGAATGATCTATTTCAAATAGGGAGACTGTAAGATCATAAATGAACATATCTTTCACACACATCAAGGAAACTCACCGCTGACTGACTGGTAGCGTGACCTGTGGCCTTTATGTCAATATCATCCTAGGAGATTATCTCAGAGCCATCCTGAATCTAAACACCAACCCTGTCAACTCTGACTGGAAGCTAGATCCTCGTGGGCGAATCGAGGTGTTCGACGCCCAAGGGGTCCCACGAGGATTAGGAAATCAAGTCAGTGCGGAGTTCAATATGATCTACCGATGGCATGCGGCAATCACCGACCAAGATGAGGCCTGGACGAAGGCATTCATGAAGGATAGTCTGGGGCGAGATGTGGACCCGAGTATAGCTCTATCATAACCGACCGTCGGATAACGTGAGGCTAACAAAATTGGCACTAGGTAGCTTATCCGTAGGCCAGTTCCTGGCAGGGTTAAGAAAATGGAAACAAACTCTAGATCCGGAACCTTCAAAGTGGACTTTTGGAGCCTTGAAGCGTACGCCGGATGGTCAGTTTCACGATTCGGATCTGGTCAAACTGTTGCAAGATGGAGCAGAACATGCCGCTGGTTGGTTCAAGTCTTCTCAGTGTAGCAAACTGTCATCCTAATTCCTCCACAAGGTGCATTTGGTGCCCGCAACATCCCCCGAGTTCTCAGAGCAATCGAGATGCTCGGAATCCAACAGGGGCGTGAGTGGGGACTAGCAACCCTCAATGAATTCCGGCTTTTCTTCAAGCTGAAGCCATATTCGACCTTTTGTACGTCATAATTGTAGGAGATGATTGATTCTGGGCTGACTTTGATCCCTAGTGGAGGTGAACTCGGATCCTGGGGTTGCCGAAGCCCATAAGCCGCCTATGGAGCAATTGGACGAGATGAGCGCTAATTGCCCGTTCAGTCGAGGCTCTCTATGGCCATCCTGACAACATCGAGCTGTACGTTGGAGTAGAGGCAGAGGAGGCCAAACAACCATTTTATCCTGGGTCTGGGTTATGCCCCGGCTTCACGATCTCAGTTGCCATCTTGTCGGATGCGGTGGCTCTCGTTAGGGGAGACCGTTTCTATACCGTTGACTACAACCCAATAAATCTAACCAATTTTGGGTAATAAACGGCCCCTTGACACAAAGAGGATCATATGGCTCACTCCATGTAGATTCCAATCGGCCAGCTCAGACTTCGATGTTGCCAATGGCGGTGTGATGTACAAACTATTGATGAGAGCTTTCCCGGGGTACTATCCCCAAATAGCGTTTACACGCTCTACCCCTTCACCACACCGACGCAAAGCCGACAGGCTTTCGAAAACGCGGGTACAGCGGACAAATTAGACTTCAACAGACCAGTACATCAGGGTCCAGTTATAGCTCTTACGTCATGGCAGGGTGTTACCCAGTTGTTGAGTGACGGGAAACGATTCCGTGTGCCATGTACGATACTCCATTGGGAGATATGAGAGCTCCGTCGCTGATAGCTATCTAGGGGGCCCGCATACGTTCCAGCTCACAGGCCATGACTACATGTTGAGTGGTGACTCGTTTGCCAATGCCGATCAACGGGTGTTTGTCAACAAATGCCTATATCAGCCTAAGGACAGTTTGGAGGAGGTTCAACAATACTATGAACGAACAACCTTGGAGCTTCTTCAGAAGTATAGCAAGAAGGCCGGGCTATGCTATTACGTCGACGCAGTCCGAGAGTATGTCAACAATCCCCCTTCGCTCAATAAACAACCTAGTATTAAGAAGAAAATTACACTAGCATTGGAAATTTCGCCCATGCGAACTTTACAGCCGACTTCTTCAACATTCCCTTGACTAAATCCGCGGGTAATAATGCTTATACGGATGCAGAGATATACGATGGACTAGCGGAGCTCTTCGGCTACGTCTTCCTTGACGTTGACCCAGCACAATCTTTGAAACACCGAATCGTTGGGTCGCGCAAGTCCGAACGTCTCGGGCAAGTCATGCGAAAGCAAGTGGAGCATCAGCAATCACATATTGCTTCTATTGCTCGTCACGTTCTCGGTGCTGACTCTGAGCCGGAGGGCCTAGCAAACTATGGCGCCCAGTTAGTGCGAAGGCTTCTGGACGACGGCAAGTCGGTCGATGAAGTCGTGTGGGCCATCATCCCAACAGCAGCTGCTGCATGTGCCACACAAGCCCAGGGAGTATGACCGTGGCTTCCCTGAACTTAGATTCTGGCTGATGATTGGATCTCCAGTGGGGTCAGTTGATTGAGCTATACCTGTCCGATGCCTACTATAAACACTGGGCGGACATCCAGGGTCTCGCCCACAACAAGGACAAGGAGTCGTTTGAGAAGCTCAAAAAATACGCTCTAGAAGGGTATGTTGAATGTCGAATCCCTGGACCCTCTAGCGGTCGGCTCGGCTGATACTCGCAGATTTCGCCTGTCTACGCCAGCTTTTGGGGTTCTTCGGAACGCCGCCGTGGACACTACCATCGACGACAGTGGGAAGTCGATCGCCGTGCACAAAGGTGATACCATATTTGCAGATTTCGTCACCGCTGGACGTGATCCTGCCAACTTCCCAGACCCAGAGTCCATCCGACTCGATCGCCCGGATGAGCTGTATATCCACCACGGGTGGGGGCCACACGCATGCCTCGGTCGTGCAATTGTCACGGTAGCCGGGGCCGCCATGCTGCGAGTTTTCGGTCGGCTCACCAACCTCCGGCGCAGCCCGGGCCCCTCGGGAGAAATGAAGAGCAAGCTAGTGAACAACGCATTCAAAGTATACCTCCCCGAGGATGGAAGTGAATGGACGCCGTTTCCTTGCAGTAAGTTTCGCAGATCCCGCATCACCGCCGCCGATGGAGCTGACGGACCGTGTCCAGATAAGAAGGTGCTGTTTGATAGCCTTGGAGACCAGGGTCCCTAGTTTGGGCCCCATCGTAAGTGGACCGCGTAAAATGGTCGAGCCCCGCAGGGCTTGAACATGGGTAGGCAATTAGAGGCTTTAATGTCCGGTTTTGATTTGCTCGACAAATTGGTGCTCGGTTTGAAATTGACTGTCCATGTCCAGATTAGGATATAGCTTAGCTAGATACCAGAATCAATATTGTATGTCATTGGCCGTGACTCCCTGCACGTAATCTGGACAGATCGTCGGGATCGATGCCGAATCAGGATGCGGGCGAGATCGACGGCTGGACCGCGGACGGAGAGCGTTCCGGCCTCCGGGCTCTAGTCCTGTTAGGGGAATTGATGCCTGGGCACTCCAGGCAGCCAAGGCGGTTGTTAACTTGTTTGCTCCCCCGCCTTCTCTCCTCATCTCGCTTCCAGCACGGTGCTCCACTGCCAATGATACACCTTTCTTTGGAAACAACCATCGATCCACATCCGTGGTGGCTAGCGAGTCATGAGCGCTGAATCCCCGACCGAACAGGGCGCTCACCCGTCGCCTATTGAGAACTCCAAACTCCCGTCAAGGGAAACCATCCGTACGATTCATGATCGTACAGTCCTCGACAAAGATGGCCAGGCGCACCGATTCGGGAGCCTGTATTCAGGACCCGGTGTGGCAAAACGCGTCTTAGTCATTTTTGTCCGCCATTTCTTCTGTGGTGTGGGTCGCACGTCTTCTCCCCTACTACCATGGCGCAGTTTCTAAGTCACCACTGCCACAGAGTTGTCAAGAGTTCCTTCGCACCCTATCAGAATCCATCACCCCAGAGACCCTTCAGCCACAGCAGACATCGATCGTTGTCATTGGCTGTGGAGACCCAGTGTTGATCGAGCTCTATGAGCGCGAAACTAGCTGCCGATTCCCCATCTATGCGGATCCAACCCGGCAGCTATACCAGGATCTGGGCCTGGTCTCCACCTGGGACCTGGGTCCTCAGCCAGATTATATCAAGAAGAGCATGCCGCGCATAGTCATCGAATCCATCTTCCAGGCACTAAAGCATGTCCCGTCTGGTTTGGCTCATAAGGGCGGGGATAGCAAACAGATTGGAGGCGAGTTCCTATTCGAACCTGTCGAGGAAGGCCCGACTGAAGGGGAGGGCGCGGAGAAACAGGTGACTTGGTTTCACCGCATGACAACAACCCGCGACCATACTGAGGTTCCAGAGCTGAAGAAAATACTGGGGACCGGCACGTAGGGTAGGATTTTTAGCACCCCAGGAAGCGCTATATGAGCTTACCACGTCAAGTCACTTATCCTGCGCTCAATATGTCTATTGGATTAGTGTTCTACGTACCAGACACATCAAAACACCTACACCCGCATTGATCAGTTTTCGACACATAATTTGTGACATAGCATACCTTCCGGACATTGATTTAGGAAAGCCCGGGGTCTAGTTCACCTGATTTGTTTGCCAATTTTGCCAATAATGGCGCTGTCCTTTGGGGAATTGAGCGAATGACCAGTACGACCGACATGCAGACCCAAGCGTCCGCGAAGTAATGCCGAAAATGGATCCCAAGATAGTGGAATATAAATATTTTGCGTTTCGATTCACCATACGATCTCAATTCCAAAGTTCAAAATCCAGTCCGGCACATCCGGCCCGATGCCGAAACCGACCATGTTTCGCTTCCGACCCCTTTCAAAACATAAAAGACGGAGTCTGGGTCCCGTTTGGACTTCGTCTGCTGGGAATCCCGTAGTTTCGTAGTTAGACCCGAAGAAGGTCTCCTGCTAGCGAGGTTGACGGAAGTCGGCTTCGTTCTGGTATGCGCCGGCGTCAGGCGTGACAGCCTCGATCTGGGGCATGAACTCGTCAGTCACCTGGAGCTGGGCGCGGATTTTATCTGCCCACGGCGTCACTGTATTCCACGTATTCGCTAGCTGTAGAGTGACGGCGGCGCCACGCCACTGGGAAAAGACCGTGTTTGGTAGTTTGTCGCCTGTCTTGTTGGAGACGTCCAGGCCGACTCCCACCACAAAGCCTCCGTGCTCTGTCAGGTTTCGTAGTGTGCCTACCAAGCTGGCCGTCCGCCGTTGTGATTTAAGAATGCGCTGGGGAATGAAGCGGCCGCCGAAATTATAAATGCCAACGCCGAGGTTTCCACCCGGGAAAGGACCCATATACTTGTTGTAGTGATCGTAGTAGCTGTCATACTCCGAGCAGGAGACCTCGTACGGGATACCCCGAGTGGACAAGACAGAGATGAACTGCGCCAGAATAATCTGGACTTCGCTTGTCGTCCTGTCGTAGGCCGTCAGGGGGTTGATGAGAAAGTGTTGCGAGGACATCTGGTAGATGACTGTTGCACCGACCTCGGTCATCGCCGGTAGGAGCAAGTGAAAATGTGTTACAGCCTCTGTGAAAAGCTCACGGGTGGTGTTTGCAGTCAATATTCCAAGAGAGGCACCGGAGACCGTGGTCTCGGGATAGGCTTTGACGGTGGCCGACACCGCGGTGCCGTAGTTCCCGGCACCGCCGCCGCTGGGGGCCCGGTACAGGTCCTCGTTCTCGCTGCGGGACGCGGTGACGAGTTCCCCGGCTGCCGTGATCACTTCAAAGGAGAGAGTTTGATCCGCGGCCAAGTTAAACGCAGTGCTTAGCGCGGAGTGTCCGCCTCCCTGCGTGTATCCTCCAGCCAACCCAACGGTCGGGCACTCTCCGGTCACCACGACGAGTCCTCGCGCAGCGGCCGCTTCCAAAATCTGGGTCCCCACCACCCCACCGCCCACTTTAAACGCGGGTCCCTGGTAATAGATATCCAACGATTCCACATACTCGATCTCACTCAGATTATGGGTCCAAATTGATAAAGCTCTGGCTCCTGTGGAACGGCCCATGTAACTAGTAGTTGTGTTCGATGTCTCAGCGCAGTCAAATATGCATCATCATGTCGGGAGTCTCACTCATGTCCAGTGTTGCGAATGACCAAACGGATCTTGTTTTCCCTGGCGAACCGAACGGCGGCAGTCACATCTTCGCTCGATGACACGTCGACCGCATAGCTGGCTTAATTTCCTAACTTGCACGGCTGGGGCTCCGGTGTGAAGGGGTCACAACTCTGGTTGGCGAAATATGTCTGCATTACGGATGACGAAGAGACGTAAGTCATTAATCATTAGCAGGACTTGGCTACGTCGACTTTTGGGACGTCTAGCAACTTACTGAGTTGAGCGAACATTCCATTTCTTGCGCAGGTCAACACAGGCGGATTTGTCATAATGAGGATCATGACACGGCCTTCCCAGGGGGATGGTGGGAATCAGTCGGCCGCCAGTAGACGCGTTGAGTGCGTCCCACTGCAAATTCGACGGCCAACAAGGATCCTCGGGGAGGCAGAGGCATTGGCAGGATGCAAGTACCGTCCAGCCGAGGGTAGCGACGACTGTTGCTTTCTATGCCGCGAGGGTCATTGTTTTCAAGGGTTCCAGAACAGAAGTCCAGCCTGTTGCCCGATCAAAATTTAGGAACACAGCTGGCGAGGTAGTGTTAATATCCAGCATCCTCCGGTGAGAGCGAGGGTCATATTTGGAAGAACGGAATAAGAGGTTGGAAATAGAAAGAGGAATGAGCAGTCAGAAAGCAATGTCGCACGTGGAGCAGGCATATTTCCACCTTGGGCAACAACGAAGACCCAACCATCACACGAAATCCCATGATCGTCACAATATATATATTGGATTCATTTCTAATGCAAGTAACTTCATATACATCAAATCATGCCATCTCTATCTGTTCATCCTTGCTCTTGTTCTTTTTAGCCCATGTCGTTTCCTCGTCATGCGTGATAACATAATCTTTCCACTCTCTGACCGGCACACGGTCTTGGAAGAGTCGTTCAATATCCGCATTGCTGCGGTGGGCCGTCTCGCCCACGCAGAACCACGAGTAAGCCAGGAGGAAGAGTGTGGTGGCTGCATAGACAAAGCCGATCATCGGGCCGAGGTTGCCGGTGTAATACATGTACGGGCTGGTGAAGACCATGAGCCACACGGTGATGAAGAAGACGCCGATGGCACAGGAGGTGATCTTGTTGCGGTTGCGCCCAACCGACATCTCCGACGCGATCGAATAGGATAGGGTGCCGATGGAGAAGTTGTAGCAGACGATGTTGACGTAGGCGAGGACGACGATGGCAATGCCGACCCCCTCGCTGAATTTTCCGTCGGCATCCCGAGTGGTCCCCAGTCCGCCGACGGCCACCAGCGAGGCTAAAATACCCGTGCTGCACACCAGCAAGTTCTTCCGGCGGCTGACCTTGTTGCCCAGAACAACGGCCACGCCAACGGCGATAATCTGGAGCACGTAGATGATGGTGTTGATGGTGAAAGGTTCGGCAACCCCGATGGACTGGGCGAAAACTACCCCGTAGGTGTACCAGAATTGAATTCCGTTGATCTGCTGCACGAACATGGCACCGCAGGCGTAGAAGAGTTTACGACGCTCGATGGGATCCGTGATGAGGGACATCCAGGTGGCGTCCTTGGCGAGCTCGCGCTCCATCTCCACTTGGTCGTCGATAACCTGCAGGTCCGCTTGAGGGTCGTAATCGGGCGCACTGCGGTTGATCTGCCGCAAGGCCTTGGTCGCTTGCTCCCTCCTCCCCTTGTACATATACCACACAGGGCTCTCCGGGGTGAAAGGCAGACACAAGAGCATGATTCCCGGGAGAACCACCAGCAACGACATCGGAATGCGGTAGGAGTTGGGGCTTTGAATACCCTCCGTTCCCTGGTTGACGCAGGCCCCGACCAGCTGGGAGATGGACTGCATGAATTGGAAGCACATGAGCGCCGGACCGCGGATCGCGGACGGTGCGACTTCGCCAATGTACATCAGACAGGTGGCGGTGAATTGCCCGATCCCCAGACCGATGAGAACTCGACTGACGTAGAACACAGGATCCGAGCCAAAAGAACACACTTGCACAATGGCGCCGACAATGATGCAGACCGATGCCGTCAGGAAAACCACCCGCCGACCCAGATAATCGTTGATCGGAGCGGCAGCGATAGCGCCGACAAACTCCCCCACGTAGATGATACTCGCCGACACGGAGAGGAAGGTGGTGGACAGCGAGTACGAGCCATCGGACGCTTCAACACCGTAATCGCGGGCAAAATATTCCATTCCCTGGATCCCCGTATAGTAAATGGTGTCGTACCCATAGCAAAGGGCACCGATCGCGGCCACCAGGCAGTAGACCACCGCCCATCGGTTGGATTTCCAGTCGATACTAAGCCCCAGGCCCGTCATGGTGTATTATTGAAGTCGGATTTGGATAGGTTACCGTGGGAATGAAGAGGACCTTGGTCTATGGAGAGCCAGGGAGCACCGCAGAACAACAAGCAGAAAGGAAAAGCACGGAGATCGGGACTGGGGATCCGGGGGGGAGAGGCCTTTTTAGATCGGCCATTCCCACACGAGTATAAAAAAAAAAAGGAAAGATAGAAGAGACAAGAACCTTACCGCATTCTGAACCGAAGAATGTGCAAACAAAAGCAACGCCTGGGTCTACTAACTGCCTTTAGATGGTGGCCGGACTATCACCGCTGGTTATGGCCAATTGATGATACGGGCCCCGGCTCTCCTTCTCCACCGTCTGTTCTCCGCACAGTTTAGCATCTCCAGATTTTTCGCACCCCGGGGGACTTTCCCCTCTCTCCTCCAAGAGCGCAAGCGCCCCAAAACGTGGATTTGACCACTTGTGGGCCCAGAAGACACAGTCCTCTCGGTCCACGGGGCATCCGGACGAGAAACAGGAAATTCAGCCGACGGTCATTGCATGATGCCTGCCTCTCAAATTGTAACCAGCAAATCGCACCACAATGGCATCCCACATTAGGCGGGGAAGATCAGTTCCAGTTCGGTAATCGGGCCGCTGCCAAGCAAGCCGACACGGGATGCCTGCGCCATTTACACGAGGTTTAACCATCGGCTTGCTCTGCTCCATGCCGAGTTTTCCCGGGTGAAACTCTCGGACGCTGGCCGAAATGCACGATGAGGTATTTGCTGACATCTGTCACCTTTCCTGATATTATCTCGGCCGTACTTGAGCCGGGTAGTATGAGAAATCGCCATTGAAATAATAGACACCGTTCACACGTTGTCATTTGTCCGGACAGGAGGAAGATGTGACTTTTCATCCTATTGAATGCAAGACACGAGGGATGGTCATAGAGTAGAGGTATTAGGAGACACAGCAACTGTCTACTGCATGGAACTGGTAGTGTTAGCGAATAAAGTTAGAATTAGGAAAGGTTGCAGTGACGTCGGAGGAGGGGCAGGGGAAAATTCAGAGATCGTAAATATAAATTTAGCCACACTGTTGTCATTACCTGGCTTGTGATATCCACTCCCTTCCACACACTCAAAGATAGTAAAAGAAAGTATAATTTTCACAACATATAGAACATTTATGGTTCGCTCCTGTATTTAATTCCATTTCACCCACAAATATATACGTGACATGAAAAACAGCAGGGAAGTACTGTCGACTAAGAATTCAAGCGTTCTGCTATTAGGCTTTGGTGTGCTTCAAATGAAAGCATCTAATTTTACATATTACGCTTACGTCCCACAGCTCAGAGATCTGTCTCAAGCTCAAACAATTACAGGACAACATAGTTACCGCAATGCCCTCTTTCTAGATTGTCAATTGCATCAAGGTCCATTATTCATCTAAAGATATTACACAAGTTACTGCCCTGCGAAATCCAGCAAGGAAAACCAACAGACACACGCCTACAGCCATGTTCCGAGATTGACTAAATGTACATCAGCAAGGAAACAAAAAGCAAAATTCGCGAAAAGAACATACCATGGACAGCCTTGACCTGCGTGTACGCCGAAAGGGCGTACTCGCCCAATTCGCGTCCGACGCCACTCTGTTTGTAACCGCCAAACGGAATCGCATAGTGCGAGTCCTGCGAGCTGTTGATCTAGAATGGGATGGAGGTTAGCAATTGCTCCTACCCTTCTTCCAAGGGATACACTCACCCAAACCATGCCAGCCTCGATGGCCGCGGCGACCTTGTGCGCCTTGGTGATATTCTCTGTGAATACTGCAGCACCAAGGCCATATTCAGTATCATTTGCCTTCTTGATAGCGTCCTCCTGAGAGCTAAACGACTCAATGACCACGAATGGCCCGAATACCTCCTCGCGCACTACCTTCATGTCACGGTTGGTGTCCTTAAAGATCGTCGGTTGTACAAAGAAGCCCGTGGCATTGCTCTGCAACGTCTCACCCCCTAGGACCAGCTTCGCGCCCTCGGACTTGGCCGCCTCGATGTAACGCAGGATGCGGTCCCGTTGGACTTGCGACACTTGCGGGCCATGGTTGACCTTGGGGTCGAACTGGCTGCCGACGACACTGTTCTCGACAGTGTATTTCTTGAATTGCTCGACAAAGGTCTCGTAGATACTGTCCTGGACGTAGATTCGAGAGGTCGAGGTGCAGATTTGACCCATATTGCCTAGTAAACAGGTCAGAGTCATTTCCCGATTGGCGTGGGGCAGGAGACTTACTCATGATACCGACGTGCGACCACTTGACAGCCTGGTCAAGGTTCGCATCGTCAAAGACAAGCAGAGGGCTCTTGCCTCCCGTCTCGAGGGTGATCGCCTTGAGGTTCACGGCAGCCGCCTTCATGATGGCTTTACCGGTGAGTGTGCTGCCAGTGAAGGCAATCTTGTCCACGCCCACGTGGCTAGCTAGGGTAGCACCAGCCACCCCACCAGCGCCGTTCAGGATGTTCACCACACCCTTGGGGAAACCCGCCTCCTTGATTAGTGTCGCCAGATAGAGGACGGACAAGGGAGTCTGCTCGGCAGCTTTTAGGACGACGGTGTTTCCGCACGCCAGGGCTGGGCCCAGCTTCCACGCTGCCATCTACCAATGGATTAGACAAGTTCTCTACGGTTTATCCATGGGACGAGCTACATACCATCGCGGGATAATTCCAAGGAATGATCTGCCCACACACGCCGATCGGCTCATGTCTGGTATACGCGAGTTTCGCTTCGGAGGTGTCAATTGTCCGGCCCTGGATCTTGTCGGCCCACCCGCCATAGTATCGGAAGACTGAGATGACCTCGGCGACATCTTCGCTCAGAGCCGAGTCGTAAGGCTTGCCGTTGTCCCATGCATCGATCGTTGCCAGGGTTTCCGCGTGCTTCTCACACAGGTCAGCCAGGCGGAGGAGTAGCAGACCCCGCTCCGAGGCGCCTAGGGACCGCCATTCAGGGTTCTGGAACGCCCCGCGAGCCGCTGAAACCGCACGGTCCACGTCCTCCGATCCTGCAGAGGACACTGACGCGATGACTGATTCGTCGTATGGGTTCACCGTCGCGATCGTTTCCCCGGAGCACGCAGGGACAAACTCATTGTTAATAAAGAGTCCTGGATTGGAGGTCAGTCAGTAGGTGGGAACAATCGTTCGCTAACCCACGAGGGACGCACCTGTAGGCTGGGTGTAGCTCACTCCATTAGGAGCGGTCAGTTGGACTGGTGATGCCATTCTAGAGAGAGGGAAGGGAGTGAGAAGTTGATGCTGCAAAATTGTTCCTCAATTCAGTCGGATGGTCTATAGTATGGACTTATATATACATGACATACCCCCAGTGACCGCTTGACCCGAATCACCCCTTGGTGAGGTGTTCGCGAGTCGATACCGAGCATTGTATATTTCAAGTGATGTTTGAGACATGGCCTATCAACTTACCTAATTGGGACATATGTGGCCACGATTTTTGGCGCACTAACACAACAGCTATTACCACTAGACCACAAAAGATATCATGAGACGACTGATTGATTCGCAAGGAACCTTATCTTTGGTGCCACCATCACCACCCCTCCCTCCAGCAGCGAGTCCTCTCTGGATGCCGAATCCCCGCATTGGTGGGTCGTGCGGATCCCTGCTAACTGCGCACGCCAATGGTCGACTGCGGCGGGGTAAAGACAGCCGAGGGGTCCAATGGATTCCAGTTCCCTCATCCTGTGAAGGAAAGATTGATAGAAACCTGAAACTGTGGGGAAATATTGGAATCTAGGTGTTGAGAGGTCCGGAAATCGGAGGACAAACGAAGCGCTTATCATAGCCGTGTCGGCATTTGATATACTATGTGGGGTTTCAACATATCTCAACCGTGGTTGATCAAAGATATCTCTCCCTTTGGTTTACATTACACAACAGCATTGATAATAGCTGGTAGGATGCAATGATTAAGGTTTCATGTGAGGGTTTTACAGTATCGCCGGGGACTTCCATCATGGGGTCGGTTTATAGATTTGTTCTTATCTCGCGAAATAAATACATCGGTAGTAAACATCAATCATGTAATTTTGCCACATCCAAGATGGACTAGATCACCATCCACTAATTTGGCAGTGCCGCCTCCACTTCGATCTCAATGAGCATCCCCTCAATCCCGAGTTTGCCTATCTCCACACAGGTCCAGATGGGGCGGTGATTGGGAATGACTCGCTTGAAGTTGGCCGTGACCACGTCGAAGGTCTGTTCGACGTTGATATGATAGCTCCGCACGGCGTAGACGTTCTGCCACGATAGCCGGCTGTCCACAGACTGGAGCGCCTTCTCGACATTTTCAAAGGCGATGGCGACTTGCGTTTCCACGTCTGGAGTGATGGAACCGTTCGCATCCCAGCCTCCTTGTCCAGAGGTCTTGACGGTATTGCCCACTCGCACGGCCTGGGAGTAGTGAAAGCTCTCGGAGTTGGCCTCGGTGCCGGGGTAATTGAAGAACTGAGGGGTCGACATGATTGAATGGGGTCTCGTATAAAATCTGGATACGATGTTGGAAAAGGTTATGCTAACCTGTAGGAGAGAGAGATAATGTGAAGATGAAAGGAAAAGATCAAGGAAGATGACTTTGCGTCCCCTGGATAGAAAAGCACCGTCCCGGTTAATATACCCCGCTTGCCTTGTTCACAGACGACAATCGATCCCAGTCATGGACCTAGGGTGAGATGAGCCCATGCGCGTCGATGCTGTGCGTGACGCCTGTTTCTGCAGTCGTGGATGGCCATGGTCCAGCTACTTTCCTGAAACAACCTAGATCATGAATTAGCGTGACATTCGTGCGGCAAATCTGCACGTTACCCCAGACCTGCGATACGACCTTACTGGATATCTGATTAGCTCGGTGGACGAGACGGGGATTCGTCAAACCCTCTTGTCATAAATCATCCTGTGGCCGAAATACCTTCCAATTTAGGGTTAGACCGAGATTTCCGTGACAGTCTACCCCCGAGATAGCCAGGATTGAAGGAACCATGATAAGGGACCAAAGATTAGAGCGGTGTATACGAAGGCTTGTCGGGGCTTTATGACACGTCTTGGTCCGTCGTGATGCAAATGGGTCGTGCTACTGTCCCTTTTCTCGATCTTGAACCTGTCTATGAATGCGCAAAGCACAGTTTGATAACTTGAGCCCACCCAAATCCCCGAGGATGACGGCCACAGAAGAAAAGCCCACCGCGGGCTCCTTGAGCAAGGTCGAAACGCAGAATGTTGGCACGGTGCAAGATGAGACACTCCACAGCCTGGGGTACACACCGCAATTACGCCGCACGCGCAGCCTGTCGACCATCCTCTTCATGTCGCTGTCAATTGCTTCCATCCCATACGGCATCGGGAGCTCGTTGATGAGCACCATCTACGGCGGCGGGCAGCTGTCCCTGTTCGTGGGCCTGATCGTCGTCCTTGTTCTGGATGCCTGTATTGCGCTGTCTTTGGCCGAGTTGGCTTCACGATACCCGACCTCCTCCGGTGTCTACTACTATTCTTACCAGCTGGCGCAGTCCAGTCGCGCGCGAACCCTCCTCTCTTTCATAACCGGCTGGATTTGGCTGATCGGGAACTGGACCATCACTCTTTCTGTCAACTTTGGACTCGCATCCATGATTGCCGCCACCATCGCCATCTTTTGGCCCGACTGGCAAGCCACAGACTGGCAGCTCCTGCTAATGTTTTACGCCATGTGCTTATTGACTTTCACCATCTGTGCGGTCGGCGACAAGATGCTACCGCTCATCGATACCGTCGCCGCCGCTACCAGCCTGGTCACCTGCGTCGTCGTACTGCTGACACTGTCCATAACGGCCAAGTCGGGGCGCCACACAGCAGCCGATGCCCTGGGATCATTCGATCCCAGTCTCTCAGGGTGGGGAAACTTCGCCTTCTTTGTCGGCCTGCTGCCTCCGGCATACACCTTCTCGGCTATCGGCATGGTCACGTCCATGGCGGAGGAATGCACCGATCCGGAGATCCAAATGGCCCAGGGCATCAGCTTGGTGACGGTTGTCGGCGGCGTGGCCGCCCTCATCTTTGTGTTGCCCATCTGCTTTACTCTTCCCCCATTGTTGGACGTCGCCAACGCACCTTACGGACAGGCACTGCCGTATATCTTCCTCAAGGTCACCGACTCCCAAGCGGGCGCCCTCGTCCTCATGATCATGGTGCTGTTTGTCTCGATTTTTTGCTCGATCAGCATCACTACCACTGCGTCCCGGTGCACGTGGGCTTTCTCCCGAGACAACGCCATACCCTTCTCGAAGATTTGGTCTAAGACGATCAACGACAGCCCAATCCCGGCGCTATGCCTCGTCACGGCGATCGAAATGCTGCTAGGTCTGATCAACCTCGGTAGTAGCAGTGCGTTCACGGCCTTTGCTTCGGTCGGCGTGATTGGGCTGGCAGTGGCGTACTGCATCCCGATCGCGATCAGCCTCCTCAACGGGCGAAAGGAGGTTATGAAAGCCCGGTGGAATATTGGTTGGCTGCTGGGAATGGTTCTAAACACCATCGCGGTGTTTTGGATTCTATTCCAACTCGTGCTGTTTAGTATGCCGACTGTGTTGCCCGTGACGCAGGTGTCGATGAATTATGCCTCGGTGGTATTTGTTGGGTGTCTGTCGCTCTGTTTGATTTGGTATGCCGTGTATGGGAAGACGAGTAAGTTCATCCGATGACCTGGAAGATGTGACGCATGAGCATGCTAACGGATGTTGTAGAGTTCAAGGGACCTCCGGAAATTACACATTTCTAATGATCTATGCCTGTTTGGCGTTCCGGGAAAGTTGGATTAGGGTTATACTAGAGTTATTCCATTATGATGATTATTTCCTTCTATTCTCGTAGCGAAAGATAAACATGTCAATTCAGTGAGGACAGCAACTGTTTCAAAGTGTAGAATGACGACCATTGGATTTCATGTAAGCAGAGTGGGAATATCTTACTGTGATGGAATAATTAGTTGAATTAATCGAAGTTATGCAATGTAGGCAGTTGATGCAAATGAAAAACATTTCAATGTGTGGAGAGCACAGTGATAAGCATCAAACTCGCTCACTGGCTTGTATGATGGGCTGATACGCTGTTTTTGTACTTGATGTGACATACTGGTAAACGCTATGCCACTAGGGATTCAGAATTCTTGCTCCTCCCTAGGAAATGCGATTGCTGTATCCTCAAGGATGCTTCTAGCAATTACCCGGGAGGAATTTACCTGAGTTCCATAAGCGTACACCATGGAAAAATAATTTAAACAATATATCCCTGCTTAAATATCCTGACAGCGCCAATAGGAGCATGGAGAAGTTGGTCAGAAGCAGAAATCTGAAACCTATTGACGGTTCGAGGACACCAGTGGAACAAGGTATTATTTGGCAGACCCACCTTTAGAAGTAGAAAACGATCTCATCATTCATCGATTCATAGCAAGTAAATACACGTTTGCAATTACAATCAGAGCACAAGCACATCCTGACCAAGGCTGGTGAACATGTCGGACCAATGACCGTCGTGGGCAGGTGAAGCCCAGAGATCCTCCAGGGCGGCGCGAATTGAAAGCAGGGAATTGAAGCGAAGAGTCCCGTAGATAGTATCCAGCTTGTTCAACACAAAGCTTTGCTGCTCTACGCCAAAGGCATGGGCTCCGCTGGCATATAGGGGAAATATGACACAATTGTGGGCCTTGCAGCTGGTGCTGATTCCCATGATGCAGGTCAAGCAGTGCTGCACGTGCTGCTGGACGAGACAGTGGCGCGCGGGCAAGCCGCAGATGGCGCGGTAGAGATAGATGAGGGCGGCATGTTGGAAAGCCCTCGTGAAGGCCATGGGTTGCATCGTCTGGTCGGCGTCTGACTCCGGGACGACGTACGGATCAGGCATGCGGAGGTGATCGAGAGCGAGGATGAGCGAAGTCGGTTGGAGACGGCCTTCGAACTCCCGAATCTTTTCCATAGACGGCTCCATGCGGTCCATTTTGACCGAGTGTCTGTAAAAGGCCATTTCGGACATAACCTCAAAGACGGTAGCGAGGGTGGTCTCTCCATACCGTTGTTTCTCCCACCAGACGGTACCCGTTTCAATCCGATTCCAGATGTCGGCGGGGACGCAGGGCGCGCGGTCGTCTAGCAGCGATCTAGTCAAATCCGTGGATGCAAATTCAGACATTAGCATGTTGGTGTCCTTCTGACCCTTGCCAATGAGCGAGGAAAATCCGCCCAGGTGTTCCACGATTGCCTGTACTCCTGATTGGTGGCTCGTGGTAGATGCAGACTGCCGGGTGCAGTCGATGAAGCCGTCTAGGAAATACAAGAGAAGCACGGCGACAAGGAGGCGTGAGAGAGACTCGGTGTTGGAGGCGCTCTGCAACAACTGTTCGCGGACGGAAGCCAGGCAGCTGAGTCGTTTATCCTCCGCCGGCGACCGGTCCTTTAATAGCTTATCGTGCAATGCGCGATGGGCATCGGCCAGCTCGCACATCACCAACAGCACCGGCTGCGACTCCATCGCTAGCGAGATCGGTGGCGGGCACGGTCGAGAGGCCGTAGTGAACAAGGGCCACAGTGCCGCTTGGAAGTACTCCAGCGCCCGGAGATCCCCCTTGGCGAGAGATGTATCGGGCGGGAGACTGCCCAAGAGGCCGACCGTGGGTGACTGGTACGTGACGGGAGCCCCCCTGGTCGGACGTGCATTCCAACGCACCAGTATCTTGTCATAGCAGCACCGGGAGCCGGCTAGAGTACACCGTCGACATCGCGGCTGCACCAGGTCGCATTTGACCCGGCGCTGTTTGCATGGCCAGCAGGAACCCGGTACCGTCCGTTCTCGCTTTGGCGGCATAGTAATTTGGGTGGAGGGGCCTTTGACAGGGTCAAGGAATTAATGATAACTGCCAACAATTCTCCTACTTACAGGAAGATATTGATAAGGTCGCTGTTGGCGGAGGGGCGGCCCACATGGAGGCATCAAGCTTGACATCAGGTTTTCAAACTTTGCAACCACGGACTGAACATGATCCTGTATCTCTTCAAGCGGAGAAACAAGTGATAAGCAGAAACCGAGCTCCGCCAAACCACATTCGGAAGGTCGCGTGAGACGCGGGTGCCAGAGAAAGAAGGTCTAGTCAAATATGGAGTTAGCCTGCCCATTCTAGTATCTAACTATGATCATTCCGGGTAGCACCATTTGGCGGACGAGTGGGGCGTGTTATCAGTGCAGGCCAGCGATGCCGGGGCTGGATCCACCTCTATGCAGGGCACTCGACCTTCTGGGTCGGGTTAGCGTTTGGTCGGTGACCAAAAAACCTACCAAAACGGGCATGTCCAGAGAGTGTGGGGTCTGGGGACAGGCTCGAGCTAATGTCCGATTTAACTTGTCTTACGATATGCGTGCTATCCGGATGATCGAAGTAGGTGTGATAGCATTCTACTTAAATCCGTGGATTGCGGTCGCATGGCACTGTCGGTGACTTTGTCTCTTCCTAGCATGAACGCATCATAATGTCGACTGCCCTACCCTACATCAACTCTTTCCTCTCCGTCTCCGTCACGCCAGCCCAAGCAATTCTGTTGCTAGGGTTGATTGTCTCGGTGCTCGCGTGGTTGCTGCTCAAGTGGCACAGCTATGTGGATCATGCATCCAAAGGCCCAACACGGGCATCCCACAAACCTGCGGAGACCAATCCATTTGTGACTCCCCTGCCCGCGGCGTTGAGCAATTTCGACCCCCGGTCTAAAGACCCGAAGTTGTATCGGCCGTTCCGTCATGGCAAGAACTTCGTCACGATGGGAATCCGAAAGCTCGATTGGAACAATTGGATCGAGATGGACTCATACTTCTTACGCTACCACGATATGAAGGCGTCGGAGCTGAAGAAGGACATCAATGCCCACGTGAAATATGTTGACAACGCGGTCACCAGAGATGCCTGCTTCGAAGTGTACGAGGAGCTGGTCCGCTATCTCACGCACCGGTACCCCGAAGTCTTCCAGCTAAAGGATAGCATCCTCCATAACACACTAACGGACGAGAAATTCCAGTATCCGGCCGGTACGTTTCATATTTCCGTCGAAGTAGCAGAAACCAAGGCAATCTGACTCTCCACAGGCTCGCCAACCGAAGCCATGGCAACGGCGGCTCTACTGGTTCAGGATGACCTAGTGATCATGGTCGAAAATGATGGTAGGTACACACATGCGCTGTGAATCTGTGCCCCAAGCTAACCATGCCTCCAGACGAACAATATCATCTCGATGCCGCAGCAGTCTGTCTCCCTGGGTTTTGGCGTCTCAAGGAAAAGTTCCGCATGTCGCTCGATACTCTCCACTTTGAAGCGGGGGTGCCGCATTACGCTGCGAAGCTGCAAAAGTCCATGAACCGGTTCTTCAAGGCGCTGACGCCAGACAAGCCCGTGGAGCGTAATAATGTGAGCCATGATAACGGTCGAGTCCCACACAGAGGACCATCTAACTCAAACGACAGTTTTTTATCCAACTTGACGACGGCCTGCACTGGTCCCACCGCATGGGCGATCAAGGGGGGAAGGAAGTTGCATGTTTGTACTCCCCACACTTCCTCATCGTGACCGGCTGTTAACAGCGTGCTTTTTGGCAGCCTGGGCCACGGCAAATAGCAAAGGCTTGACAGTGGACGAAATCCACTTCCGCTCCGAACGACAAACTGTCCGTCGTCTACCTCGATCTGGAGCGATCCTGTTCACCATCCGCACGTACTTCGAACCGGTGACGGCAATCGCCAAAGAAGCGCATATCCCCGGAAGACTGGCCGAGGCCATTCGCGCCTGGGATGAGACGGTATCCACCTATAAGGGGAAATCCCACTGGGATCAGATCCTTCTACCCTATCTCGACGAGCAAGACCGCCAGCAGAGAGCCTCTGGAATCCTGGAGCAATCGGAAGGGGAATTTCCATACTGATAAGTCTGGATGTGACATGAGACACGGGAGAAGGAGTGCCAGGGCGAGTGGCACTATAACCGCGCAGAATCATTTCCTGAATTTGTATCATATATCAACCGAGACGAAATCATGGCCAATGAATCAATAGATCGATGGAACTAGATCGATGGATTTTTCAATCACGAGTCTATGCCTCTTATCTTCTCAACTAAGACGCAAGATAAACTGACATATGTCGGCAATCAACTATTTTTACAAGTGTCGATGGGCAATATTAGATATAGCCAGGGTATTGCCGCCCCCCAAAAACAGGAGGAGAGAAAAAGAAAGAAGAACTTGTAGTCGCGACTTTTCAACTGGGTACCACCCGGAAGCAAGGATTAAACACGACCACGTACCGCGGCGGAAAACAGAAACTGGCTATCTCCAGCTCAAGAGACTGGTGGTCCTGCCGGCTCGAGGGCCCGGATGCCTGAATCGTTCTGGAAATGGACCGTGATCGGCGACCTGGTCAATCAAAGGCCCGGACCCCACCGTCTCTAGTCTTCCTGCCAAATCAGCGCTCTGAACACTGGAACTCACATCTTCGTCATATCAATGATACCAGGGCGTTGTAGATGACTATCGAAAGCTGGCTCGAGGAGTTGTCAGAGATATCGTCATGTCCCGAAAGAAAACTCCCCACTAGCCCAACCAGTCTGGCACCTGCAGGTAGAAACAAACAAAGATTGTCTATGTCGCCATCCCGCCAACCCAGCCCCTCCAAACGACGGCGTACTGATGATGATGGCGTCGGACAAGAGGTGATGTCCCTTCCATCAGAAATCTCACAACTTCATCTCGTCAGGGTAGTCCAACTCGAGATATCTCTAACCAACTTCGATTTGCGAACCCCCAGATATTTTGTGAGCCTCAGGCAGCAGGGTCGATACTCGATGCTGTGTTGTCACTGTGGAGAAGGCTCACCGATGGATTTGGCCAAAATATCATCCCACAAAGGCTTGAAGTGCTAACACTCTCAATTTCTCTCTATGGATTTTTGCTGATCAGGTACAGTCTTGAATACGGGCTTCTGATCCAGCTGCCGCGGAAGAAATACTAAAAACGACCTTTTTTGACTCCGATGACATGTCAGAGGCTGCTCTTGATTGATTTTGGGCTGAAATTGGGGAGATACGTCTGGAGGCTAGGAAGTGTGACATGTATGGCAAGGACGGGAATGCCCGTTGCTTGGATGTAGTCCAACCTATTTTGAACTGCTCACTGAAAGGAAACCGGAAGCTATGGCTAACCAGCGTGTGAAGTATATGGCTGTTTGCTGCCCAAGGAACGGACACTTACCATCGAAACTACTAGGAAATCACGGCTGATCGATGCGGAGCTGCTTCCTAATATGAAGAGCAGCCTCGAGCGCATCAGCAAGAAGGCGGATTACGCGTTTTCATTTTCCTGCCGAGATGCCGAGGTCTCTAGCCTTTATAAAAATATCAGTTTTGGCGGCAATGGTTACCAAATTGGCCATACCTTTGAAGCTTTCGATCAGCGAACCATATTTTTGTCTGGAATTGAAGCGAGGCCCGTCGATGGTGGGAAGAAAGAAACACTTGCCCAGCTTTGTATTTGGCTGAGTGCAAACTTGGAAAAGATGCGAGGTTTGCATGTATTGGCTAAGGGTAGTCAGCCGGTCCCTATGAACTTACTTTCTACTGTGGGGCTTACTGTAATGGGTCATGACTGGTTTAACGTATATTGCGTATCGCTTAGAAAATGAGATGGTAAGTGTGGCGTCTTTATAGAACTGTGCCTATGAACTAATGTCGTATTGCAGCACATTGTCGACCCAATTAGTACACTGCTTGCACATTTGGTATATTCAAACTACAGGACATGGCGCGACGGGTGAACCAATATGAATTAGATATGTAGTGGCCATGGGTACATGATGAGATTTTGCAACCACTGGCTAGGTCAGCTTGATCAGAAGTCATCCATAGTCTCGTTCAGGACACCGGTTAGAATATATGTGGTCATAACCTGATAAAACGATATTACAAGGGCACAGTAGGTTTAGGATCTAAACTTTTTTAGTGATCGACTGATCCTGCGCCCTAGCCAACTGTCCGGGCTGGATTATCCGGGACATGATCAGATTTGTCCTAAAACAACTAGCTAAACCACAATTGCATTGACCATCTCTCGATCAAACCGGATACCCATGGAAACTGCCCCCTCCCCCCCGCGAGAATTTTCTGACTCTACATAATTATTGTCATCCAGTTCGAAATATGCATTTTATAATCAATGAGACGGAGACAACTTTGTGCGAGTGTTTAGTTTGTGTTGTCGCATACTTTGTATCCTTAGGGCGATCACAAATATTTCAAAAACCCACTGTTTCTCTAGGAATCCGCAATTTCCAATCTCAAACCTCGGGCACCTTCCTTAGGCAGAGTAAAAAGCAAGCCCCGCACTGGCTTAACATCATGTTCCTCAGTATGGTGTAGAAGTAGTCGCGGAGACCCCGGTCGAAACAAGTGAGCCATTGTCTGATATAGCTGGACGTATGCAAGTCTAACGTAGACGTTAGATAGGATTTTTGTATTCAAAACAATTGTTTCCATGGTCGGGCCTTACTGTATTCCTATACATGATCGAGATCCCTTGCCAAAAGGTACGAAGTGCTGGAGCATCTGCTTCATTTGTTCTGAGTTGTCGACCGAGTCAATCCAACGCGATGGGTTGAATTCATCTGGGTTTGGAAATATATCTGGGTCCATGTGCATCCAGTAAGAAGACATTGACACGGCAGTCTGTGATATACAGTGTGAGCTTTCTTTCACAACCGCGCTGGATTATTCAGGCACAAATATGGAAATGATGACATCTTTGTCCGCAGGATCACCAAGGGAATGGGTGGTTGCTTCTTGACTCATGGGACTCCAATTCAAACTTACACCCTTGGGGATATTCCATTCATTGAAATGTATATCTTGGTCAGGGAAAACTCGAGGTAGACCTCCTAGGTTTCCAGTTCCCAGTCTTTTTAAGCATTAACATCAAACTTACAGAAACAAGAGATTCAGGGTTTAACAGTACCTTAGGCCCTCCTTGAGACATGCGGATAGGTATGGGAGCTTCTCTAGCTCCACATACTTTGGAATCTCGCCCGCATCCCTTTCAAACATCGGTTTCAATTCCTGCCTCAGCTTCTCTTGACAATCATCTTGACGTAAAAGGAAGAACAATGTCATCGCTAGAGCATTCGCGACATTGTGAACGGCCCCCTGTTGTATCAACTGCCTCTAAATTAGATATTAACTTTTGTTTCAGTAGACCTTTGACGAACCTGAGCAGTGCGAGTGAACGATTCCCTATTCATGATCTGCGAAATATCCTCATATAGATGATCAATGAACGTGGCGCTAGAGCGAGATTTAGCCATGTTTGACGGCCGCATTTTGCTCTTGAACATTTGTCTCCTTGCTTTCTGCACAGGGTTATTACGGGATAAAGGATATCCATATTGGACGGTCTCTCACATCATCCCATATCCTCCAATACGTCATTTTTTCAAGGAAGTGCCGTAGTATAGGCGCCGCAATAATCCTGTTTAATCAGCACCAAACGTGAAATTATCAACAAGCGCCTGCGAGACAGAACGCACCTAGCAAGCCATGGTAGCTGGGCTAGTAGTGGAATAGTAGTGGTACCCATTCTCAAAGTTGTATACCTAGAACCTATGAGACATGGCCCGGTGACATGAAAATAGAGGATCAAACCAAGTAGAGTTGAAGTCCGGGTCTTCCAAATATTCCGTTGGCTCCTCATGGAAGACCAAAGAAATAGTATCTGTTTCGTCAGCGTCGCTAATCCCACTCCCCTGGGGGTATTACGCTTACCGGCAGCCAAGGAACTCGAGGCGTCATGGAAATTCACTGGTATACCTGTGTTTCTGAAATCTTTTAATCTCTCAACCAGTCGTTCTATCCGCGCAATAATTCTTGCCTCCAGTCTTGTCATTGCTGCCCTCGAAAAAAATGGATTCAAGCGGGATCGCACAGCACGGTGTCGATCGTGTTGGGTAACAGGGAATGTTATATCTGTTCTTTGGTTATCAGTCAAGTCTGTACATATGGCTGTGGGACGGAGTATTGCCTTCAACCCCAGTACCCAGCGTAAAACGGGGGTAAGAGTCGCTCTTTCGGACGGCCCCTGACACGTATAGTTGACTATAGAAGAGAGGATCCCGTATGTGTAGCTCAGTGGGGGTTACCCGTACGATAGGTCCTGTGTGATAATAAGTCCTGATCAGCTGCAAAGGCTAGGGAACGTTTATTGTCTACCGTGTTTCATATGCATCTTTTCAACCTCCAGATAGTATTGACCGCTATAGAACCAGTCATAGTAGAATTGGTAGAAAAAGGTCAAGCGTGCTAGAAGAGGACCTGGGAACCCAGAAATAGGACTCAAAAACACGCGATATATAGCGATGGAAAGAGCATATGAAAGGACAAGCAAGCCAAGGAGTACGAAAAATTGAAAAATACTAGGGGAAGACAACACTTGAATCAAAGACATCATCAACAAACCCGCTGGTTCACATAAACTCGACAGCTAGATGCTCAAGGGATTATTGCAGTGAAACTGTTCCCTGAAAGAGAACACTCCGACTTAAGTAGAGTATTATAGATCTATTGGGTCACAATATTTTCATATTTGAATAGACATATCCAATCAACATATATATCAAGGCCGTGCGGGATAAAGGCATGTCATAAAATTCTATTGATTAATTGCAGTTAATAGATCTGTACTCTGACAGGGTATAGTAGTATTGTGTAGTATATTTATGATAGGTAACAGAGTCGTGACTACCCTAGGTAAACAGTGACTTTTTAAAGAGGGCCACATAGTTTGCCTGTAAGAATCAAATAGTCTGGTTGTAAGCAACAGCAAGGTTCTTTCCATAACATAGAGATCTTAATAGTAGAATAGTTCAGCCCTTATCCGGGGGGAGGCTGTGAGATATTCTTATTAAAATATTATGATTTAAGCGCTTATATCTCCTTTATTATAGGAAAGACACCAAGCCAAGGGAATTATTTACCGACAGTATGTAGGCCCCCTCAGCGGGGCCTAATACGATAGAAGCCACGTAGAGCATGGGGGACGAGAAATAGGGGGAAAGAAGATTAATTCTTTATCTTCCACTGACTGTTGAGACTAAATACATGCATGGGCATCCAGGAATAGGTAGGAGCAAGGGAATAACCCCATATACTGCTGATACAGATTGAAGCTGCTAGCTTCGGGGTCATGTGTGAGAAGCTAAGTAGACAAACAGAGGATAATATGAAATAAACCACTGAATCAAGTAATGATATACACACATATCTTTCTCGCAGGCCGCTATTTAGGTATTATGCCAATTTTTCTTCCCTCGCATGAGGTATGAGCCTTTAGCGTTATATGTAGTAGTATGTATTAGTTTCGGTGGTCCGGGGCCAAGGAGGCGACCATGTGCCCCACCCGCTCCACTCCAGGCCCCACCTTTAAACTCGAGTTGCGGATCAAGGCAATGATCAAACTTACACACTGTGGGGGTACGCTTACCTTGAAGTGGGTGACATGCCATTCCTGTGATTATGTTGTATCATCCACTCGGGTCAGGTAGATTGAAATAACATGATAAAACTAGCCAGTTTTGAGAAATGTTGCTGTAATTGATTATGCATGGGTTCGCTGCCTAGTGTACAATAATATATATCACTTTACTGAATTTATTGACCTGTCTACTTGGCCATCAAGATTGCGATTATTCTCTGGCTACTGGAATAGCTCAAGGAGGCCTAAACCGGCCTGGCGTTGAATTTTTGAAACTTGTAACCTTTCTTGACTCCTAATTCTTGCATAACAGTTTCCATGCTAGGTAGAGGTCTTGATGAATCAGTAGCTATAGTTTTCGTATCTTGGATCATCCATGTCTGATGAAGGTTCTAGGTAACCTTTTAAATCCGTCTACGTAAATTGCCTCTAGCCTCAAACTCTCAAATAATGCCGTGGTGGCAGGTATACACTCTATTCCTTCACCCTCCATTGCATCTTCTGGTCGTCACCGTGCATTGATTGTTGTTTTGCATGGTGGAACGTACGACTGTCATTACTTTGATGACACTCCGGAGTGTTCGGCCTCCATAGCGAGCACTGCTTTTGGAGTACCATTCGTGTCGATCGACCGACCTTGCTATGGGGCCACAAGTTCCTTCTTACCATTATCCGAGGGATCTGATTCCAATCAGAAAACTGGCTATTGGTTGCATCAATATATCCTTCCAGCCTTGTGGTCAAAATTTGGCGGACATTGCAACGGCGTTATTCTGCTTTGTCATAGCTTGGGGGTAATGGGAGGCATCGTTGCTGCAGCTATACATGGACAGGACGAGAATCCAATGTATTCGCTGGGAGGTCTCATTGCATCTGGGTTGGGGGAGAAGCAAGCCCAGTCTGCGGGTGGCACTTCTCCTAGTTATATAAGATCTGGGTCTGATTATCTTCTGATGCCAGTTGATATCAAGGACAAGATAATGTTCTGGCCAGGAACTACTAGCCCAGAAATCCTAGCCCAGAGCAAGCGCCTTAATGTGTCCATTCTGGATGCCGAAATACAACATTTTCAGCGCATTTGGTTTTCTACATGGCAGGAAAAGTGGGCGCGCCATGTAGCATTGCCTGCCATGTTTTCTCTTGTGGAGAACGATCCCTTCTTTCAAACTACAAAAGAGGAACTTGATACTTGCATATCAGCATTCAAGCACAGTGTCCGCGTTGATGGCAACTTGGTTCACGGCGCACCTCATTGGATGGAATTGAGTTACTGGTCTCAGGGATGGTATGGTCGTTGTTTTGGATTTGCAATTGAATGTTCTGTCAATATGTTGATTGAGAACTGCGAGTGATTCTTTGGCTATGCCATCTGTTCCATAGAAGTCCAACGTCCACGCTGCCTAGTTTGAATTCCTTGGATATCTGATCTTAATACACCCTAATTCATATAAACGACCACCTGTACAGAATTACTCATGACTAGGATCCATTTACCTCTGATTCGACTGCATTGCAAGCTTATAGTAGATAGGTCGTTTCGTGCCTCTGTCTGCTCGTAGAACTTGCTTATCTCTCTGACCAAGCTTATTGGACATATTAATAGATTGGTAGCTCTATATTTATTCAAAATCTAGAGATGTGTGTTGGGAAGAAGATTGTATACAATCAGTTCTCCCTTGTGGTTGGACTTGCCAATGCGTAAAGTCCCTGCAGAATTTAAATGAGTGAAATTATATATATTTGTGTGTGGTTGGTATCTGTTTTTGGGTGGGAAAATTGACGGTATTTCCTAGCCTCTAGGGTTATAACTAACAAGCATCTCTGTACCACTCCTTGTATGTAACGAGCGATGTGAAAAACTCATCAAAATCCAGAGATCAGTTTAATATAACCTTCCCCTACCCTGTTTCTGAATATGGCACTCCTTGGACACCTTCCTCCCCTGACCTCTGGGCCACTTGCCGTATCCGAGGTACTTATTGATCTGTTTCCAACCACATATTGATTGAATCGATGTCAAGGCCTGGCTTCACCTGTTCTACGATCTTAGTAAGGGACTGATATCACTGATGTCATGTTCCTTCTCAGAATAGCCTGCTAGTATTACTACTCTCTTATTTTTTTTATCATAGACTAAGTAGGGGACTTTATTATGTGATTCTTACAGCTATAGATTCATATATAGAAACAAGGTCTGGGGCGCGGCCGCCCAGGACAACGGAAAGAAGAGATACTAACATATATTCTCCGGAAATAGGGATGAAAACGCGACCTAAGTGATGAAATAGATGATGTTCGGGCTATGGAAAAGCTTTCACATGGTTGAAATAATAAGATGAAAAAATGTGGGAAAAGGACTGTGCAAACGCTGCAGGTCAGCTGGCTGACTGCCTACGGATTGCAGTGACTTCCGCATATATCATCTGATACAAGGGATTGACTCTGCTTTGCTTATCTATGAAATAAAGTGTGGGTCGATTTCAATAGGGTGAAAGATACCCGACTTAATAGAATCACCTTGGGTCTAACTTACTGGTTGTATTGACTGGTATAGGCGACACAAAAGGTGCAGGAAGAGAGAGTCATCAAGCAAAAGCGATCAATTTCAGGTCGTGGGTGGTGGATGGCCTCTGTAAGGCTGTGTGGCCCCTTTCACAAGCACTTATATCACAGTTGATAGGCTGACCCAGCAATGCCAAGCCAAGCCGCAGAGGAAAGGCTGTGCTATGACCTCTGGTATTGTAAGCGGGTAAGGAATTACAAGAACTGACAGGGAAACTTCAGCTAGACTAGTGTTCAGCCGCAACCACGGTTCGGAACTCACAGTCATCATATCAATTTCCTTGGCTTGACCAGTCTATAACAATGGGCGGTTGTTTAGCGTGTTGTAGGGAGCAGTTTATATTAGGCCACTTGCTGGTAGTAGAGTGTGATGAGGAAAATATGGTTTGTTAAGGGATATGCGTTGATACTTCATGCTGTAGGGTGTCTGACTACTCTTCGGGGTCTTGGGAATCAAGGCTGAAGTGTAGTATAATCTTCCCTATCAAGATTAGATCCCTGACAAGCTAAGTATCTGCACATTGTCATTTCCCAGCACATTTTACTTCACAGTCTAGGGGGTGGGCTTTTCCAATGACCAACTAGAAGCAAAAAAGAATTACGTCTACTCCCGTTAGGGTACTGGTATCGCCCGTATGTTTATCCAGTTAGAGGGCGCCGAGGCACTGCCCGGTGAGCCTCTGGAATGCAAGGCTCAGGCATTTGGTGGCCGCTGGATTATGAGGACAGACCACCGCGAATGAATCAAATCCTAGCATGGCTCACTGGCAAAACTGACCAACGAATGGTGTGGCCAAAAGGCAAAACAAGCATGCTCAAAGCCAGAATTTAAATATAAATAAAGTAGCCACACCTTAGGCAACTCTCCGCTGTTTATCATATTGTCCCATCTTGATTTTGACAAAATCACCAGAAGAACAACCCCAATCACCCATCCGCGGCCACGGGGTATCACCATGACGAGAATCAACAATAACACCAAAACTCAAGCATATGCTCCTGCTCAAGTTTCGGACATAGGCTCAGAGCCCTTGAGTGGAGCCACTACTGAGTATAAACGCCATCCACTGTATTGGCCCAGTGAATGGCTTTGGGAATCAATCAGTTCTACTCTGGCTCTGGGCCTCCTTATTGGCATCGCTATCATCTTCTGGTACATGGACGACAAGCCTCTCTCAGCCTGGCGCGGCCAAGTTTCTCTTAACACGACAATTGCTATCTTGACAACTTCATGCACTGCAGTGTTGATGCACGGGGTTAGCGCTTTTATTGGACAGTCTAAATGGCTTCACTTCAAAGACAGATCTCGTAAGTTGACTGACTTTGAAGTATATGACGAAGCAAGTCGCGGCCCTTGGGGAGCTATCCAGCTGCTTACCACTGTCAAGTGGAATCTTGCTACTATCGGCGCCTTTATCACAATCTTGCGACTTGCCTTCGAGCCCTTCACACAACAGGTAGTTTTAATTGAGCAGCGAGACGTCATATCTACCGCAAAAGCTGCAAGCTTTGGATATACACACAGTTACATCCGGAATACTGATTTTGACCTTTTCAATGCCGGTATTGGTAAGCACTCTCAACGTCCCACATAATGAAACCACAAGTGCAGCTGACGTGCTTTGAACTAGAGAGTGTCCGGCAGGATCCTGGTATGGTGTCCGCCATTTTCCAGGGCCTATATGGCATCAATGTCACGGAACCTTTCATCTGCCCGGGAGCATGTCGTTGGAAAGAATCATACATATCACTTGGGTTCAAGGCCAAATGCAGGGATGCCACTCAGGAAACTTTGCAGTCAGCCAAATGTGGTAAAGATGTTTCCCCGAGGCAATGCAACATGACAACACCAGGTGGACTGCACGTGAGAACTCGTGGTGTAGCTACAGATTCAGCGACAACCTACTACATGAATGCATCGTCACTGCTGAGCACCCGCACAAACTCTGAACTACCAGACACTTTTCCCGAAATTACGCGTTTTGCAATCTATAGATCAACCGCAGACCAGAATTTTCGAGTGTACGACGTCAATATTACAGATTGCTCTCTTTACATCACAGCTTATGAATACTCAGATGCTAAGGCCAATGGCAGTGATTTCTTTATTGCCAAGCGGGAGATTGATTTTGGTGTTCAGAATCCATGGAGTTTCTCAAACGAATCAAGAGAAAACTACTTCGATAACATGAGCACCAAGAGGTCCAAAAGTGGTAACATCCATATTCCTGCGCTGGAAATTAGCTATACCACTCTCAGCGCGGTGGAAGTTTTCTTCGAGTCCACGTCAATGGCTAGTGATTGGATTGCGGGGAACTTCATCAATGAGAACATAGGTGTCAGTGCTGCTCTATATGGCGATGTGGACATTGGCGACCGGTTCGACAGAATGGCGACGGCCATGACAGACCATCTGCGGTATGGTCCAAATAAAAAGACAGCACCTGGAGAGGTTGTTCACCGTGAGCCGTTCGTTTCAATCCGCTGGGAGTATTTTGTTGTTCCTATTTTTATTGAAGGACTCGCTATTCTGTTCGCTATCTTGAGTGTTTTCAGCAACCGCCAGAGTCGCCGTGTTCCCCTGTGGAAGTCCTCGGCGCTTGCTGTACTAGCTTGTCAGTATGAGGAGCAGCTTGGGCTCCTGAAGACTACGGGCAAAGATACCAACGAGATTGAGGCCGATGCTGAAAAGGCCCAGGCTCAGCTGCAGTAGTGTCGACTTTGAAGTAATGTACAGTTCTATGTCAAGGGGTTTCTTACTAGTGGGCGTAGTACCGCACTGTATCTCAATCACTACATCTGTATTATCAGGGGTGACATATTGATAATAACCTAGTTACATCTATAAAACTTCTAAATGAAAATTTTTGAATCTTTTGAATATCTCTGAATATGTCTTAACATGGAGCGGATCTGGCTGTAATCTTTTAATCCTGATCTTGATCTACTAAATTTCCAGATCAAGAAATTTAATCCGAGTCTGTGTCACAGTGCTATTGAGGATATATTAGAAACTAATTTATTTTTGTTCTAGTTGATATAAAAGTATCAAGACTTCTTTTTGGGCTACATAAAGTGATAATCCATCCATACAAGATACTATGATATATCTCTATCCCACTTAGTCCGATTATGCTACAGACTATAAACATAGATATGCTTAATCTTATAATGAAGCAGAAATCTCATAAGGAAAGTCTGTAACTAGATAGGTATACTTATTAGTATACCGAGTATTAATTTATCGTGAAGTAGAAAATCAACCATTATTATCACGATAACTCTACTATCTATATAACTAACCATACTAGATGATTTACTATAGCTTGATCAAGTGTTTTGTATGTCTTTATTAGACGATACTCATCATATTCAGGATCATTGGTATGCAGTGCAGGAACATTTTCTTTCTATCATCGAAGGACTGGCATACCTTGATTTAATTGCATTTACAACCCATGTGATTATTTTTCTCTTAACATGGATAAGCATATGTTAGAAAATATCAGACTTACCAAGATCCCAATCTGTTCCTTTCAGACTACTATATCCCCATGTAGCTATTGGTTTTTAAATAAGTAATTCGGAACAGTGTAAATGATCCTATTGGGAAGATTGCCTATGGTACAAGATGAAATAATAGAAGATTCAGGTCAGGACAAGCTCCTGCTGCCAGGGCGGGTGCTGCGATTAATTCTAAATGCACAAGACCCGAGTGTGTGCAAATTAAGGATGCTGTGATGATGATTTTGGATAATCAAACCATATGTGCAAGATGTCAGTTTATAACAGAGGATAAGTATGGGAAATAGGAGGTTGTAGAGATGGTCACCAGTTTTATTGAATAAGTGGCCAAATAACATGTACATTCAGTATCTGATAAATACGTTGAACTTCTTGATTAAAAAACATACAATTCAGCCACAGTTGCACTTTGACCTGCTGCCCATGACCCTTTGACAGTTAAGTTGATATATCTCACCTGATTAACATTTTCAAATCGATTGATTGTAATGTTCGGCTGTCGAATTCGAACCAGTTCGGCTTCCTTGGGCCTGTACGGCGAGGAAATAGAGACTGCACCATCAGTCAAAAGGCGGATAAAGTCATTATTTTCAATAAGCTTTATTCCCAAATCGAATTCTCGAGGGGGGTTGGGTCCCCAGATGAGATTTACACCAGAAACATCTTGTGGTTGACCAAGGTCAAAGATCACAGATGCGACCGTATCTTTTGGCTGCCAATATGTCGAGTTTGAGCCGTCCACCATGGACAATGGATACATCTGAGAGACAAATTCCGACGTAGATGAAACAGATGTACACGCTGCAAGATTCTTGGATTTGAGGTCCGGCCGTCTGGTGGAAACTGTGTATGATTGACCCGGTAATAACTCGAATGTCTTATCAGACTTGCCAATTTGGATTAATACTTGCTCATTTGAATCTTCTGCTGACAATCTCCTGCTGATCACGCTATTATTCAAACTTATGGTGACATCCAAGATTGCGCCCCGCCATTTTAAACCCTTGACTACCACCCCATGTGGGAGTTGAGGAGGCAGAACAGGGTCGAAATGCAGGTGTTCAAGATGTAGTCGCATGCCTGTCAAACCATGCGTAAATATTTGAAGAAAGCCACCAGCCCCGGTGAGGAATGGAAATGCTGGATTAAAGCCAAACGGGAAGGCAGGATTGTCTTCAGACATACTATCCAGCGCTGTTTCACTGAATTGGTAGAATGGTTTGCGGATGTATGGTTCGTAGCTGCGCAGGAGATACGTGTATGCAGCACAGCCCTGGGTTTCTGTTTGGGCTTCAGAAATGGCAAACACGGACCACGTCATGGCTGGACCGCCCGGTGTAGTTGTTGCAGAATACTGCACATGGTTAGCACAATGACAGACCTCGGATATGGGTAGCCATGCATAGGAAATATCATTCTTCGCTTGTTCATGTTGATAGCCCAATGGGTAATTTAGAAGAATCACACTAGCCTGCTTTACAACCCAGTCACCTGGCATTCCAGTAAATCCCAGAGTGATATTTTTTTGATCGTTGAGAGGTATTTCGATGTTTTGTACGATCTCAGTCCAGTTCTTGGGAATTGGTTGGTTTAGTAAACGAGCTGCTGTGGGAGCCCACTCGCCTAGAAGTTGGACAATGCCCGCATTGGTAAATGCCCCGTTGTCTTTGAAGTAAGCAAATTCGTCCTGTTCATTAGTGAAAGAACATGAATCTAGAAAGAATCCCTTACTGGTTCACCAAGCAGAATGGTCTCGTATCTTCCAGTTGTTCGATTCTTCTTCACGTATGCTGCGAACATGTCTGCAACGCTTTTGATCACAGGATACGCCGTCTCGGCCAGCCATGTTCGATTGTTTGACTGTAGAAAATAATTCCACAGAGATTGGGCAATATCGGTATTCAAATGATACTGATAGTCTTTACACATTCCAGTTCCAGTACAGTTTCCAAACCTGCCACTCGTCCACGGATACAATGCACCAGCGTAGCCGTACAATTTCGCATTGTCAATTGCCTGACCGAGCAGCCGTGATCGATATTTCAGGATTGTGGAGGCACTCTCAGGGTGGAGAACTTGTATGGCTGGATAGATCCAGGTATCGGAATCCCAAAAGACTAAACCGGCATAAGAATCACTAGTCAATCCTCCGACATGAATAGAGTTCGCCAGGTCTACTGTTTTGGGCAGATTCGTAAGAATCTGGAACAGCGATGCCCGCACGGCCCGCTGTAGCTCCACATCTCCGGGGATGATAATGTCACTGTCATTCCATGTTTGATCCCAGGCGTTGATGTGTTCTCGCAGTAATAGGTTCCATGGAGTGCTTCTAGCCTGGAGAGCAGAAGACCTTGCTATCAAACTTGCACTTTTCCCAAACGCGTCGGACGACGTGATCCCGACGAACTTATAGATAGTGACCTGGTCTCCCTGCTTGAGGTTAATTTTCCATTGCTGCGCGATCGTGCTAGCGTTTGTCGAAACCCGAGGAGGATTTCCAAGCTCTGTAGATATCGGCTCAGGATTTACCCCCTCGAATTGAATGGTAGAAAATATGTGAGCGGTCACGTTGGGAATTCCGTATGGCTTGACACTTGTCCAGATCGAGTCACCTTTATCAAAACCCTTCGACTCAAACTCAGAGCGGACTGCGCCTGCTCCATCCAGAAGGTCTGTAACCTGCACGGTAGTGTCATCATGCACGGCGATATCTAGACGTACTAGACCGAGGGTAGCTCTGGTGCGATGCGCAAGAATCGTGTAATTCAACTGGAAAGCTGTATTACTCGGCGGCTGCCAAGTAACATTGGTTTGCACAATCCCATTCTGCGCCGACATACATTGTTGATAACGTCGCACTGTTAATGGATCGACACCTGGACGATAAATATTCCCGTCCGCAGTGGTGAGAAGCAAACCAGTCCAGTCGGGAATCCCGCTGATCACAGACTCACCACCGCGACGGAGATTCTCTGGACTGGCAAAATGGGTGGTGTTCTCTTGCAGATTCCAAAACCCCGACACAGTGCCAAATGTTGCTCGGGGTTGGTCAAGGGGCCATGCTGTGAGTTGTCAGGGCGATATCACACTAGTCGGTTCGTCGGAGAAACATACAGTTGTTTGTGAAACTGCCATTTTCCCCTCGCTGAACCCAGTATCCCATACCTTCCGAGGGCAGGGTCTGGCCAAAATAGCCATTGGAGACGTATGGGGCTGTTTGGTAGTGATTCGGGAGAAATGAATCCGTGCAAAGCATCCATTCTGCATCGTCATGGCGTGACTGGCTGCGCGCAGTGATGGGGATGGAGGGTTGGTGGGATAGAGATTCAGCGAACAGCCATCGTCTGTCGTAAAGATCATAGATGATAGCCAATAGAATGATGAGAAATATGGACGACTGCATTGTGACACATGGAGAATAATCCGGAAGGAGGGGGAAGAGGGGAAGAAAGGATGCATTAATAGCCCGAATCCTGCAGCAAGACGCAGGGAACGTAGGGAACAGCATGACTCAAGGCACTATGGAGAATTAGCGGGCTATACTTCAATGAGCTAATTTCAGTCAACAAAAGTACAGCCCTTATAATTTTAACACAACTCGGATAGCAAAATCTTGAATTCATACGCAAATAAGAGACAGCCACCAAGAATTGACAGAATGATTGCTGAGATCACCCTTTTGGTCCTCTCCGCGTGGGCACTGAAAAGTATTATCTTGTTTTCTTTTCAAAACGGCCTCTTGAAGTTTCTCGAACAAACCCAAAGGAACAAGTCCTTTCCAAACGGCGTTCCAATTTGCCTTTCTCTGAGTGGTATTGGCTGGTTCGATCAGCGGTTGAAAAATGTCCTGGGTTTTATATGGCCCTTTGCCGCCGGCCACAGACCAGATTTATCGCTGGTCGGATTAGCTCTTGTTGGGGCCTTTGGATCTGCATGGTTTCTGATCGTTATGGAGAGCTTGAGAATCGGCAATCAGGGCACATGGGCCTCCCAGTACGTTTTTCTTTCCTTATCGGTCGTGGTCGAAGTTAATGGAGTAGTATTATGATTCCGGGGGTCTTCATATTCGATCACTCTCAAGGCCTGATGATGCCTCTTTACTTCTTGTTTCACTTATATGTTGTGCCAGAAAGAGCCTCTGTTGAAATTGACTCGGTCGATGCTCTCGCGATTATGGCCAGCTTTGTGGTGGGATATCTACTCCCCATTGGCGCCCATGCACTCCCGGCACCGACCATGATAACAGTCGCTCGGAAACAGACTTTGATCGGCTGGTACCAACTGTGGCATATTTATATCTTCGTCTGTCATCTTCTCTTCGTCAAAGTCATTAAGCAGTTCTTCGACCCCGTTAGCACACCTATTTGGTACCATCGCTTCATGTACATGTTTGCCTTTTCTTTAGCAGCACTGCCGCATATCTGCGTGCTGTTCCTGAGCACTCTAGCTGCGATTTATCCCAAACTTTTTGCCAAAGATGCGGCGAGGAGAATGCATCCCCACAATTTGTTCAGTCTGACATCCCCATGGTCGGGGAAGAAAGCACCGTCTTTGGATGAAGGCCTGAAGTGGTTGCTGCAGTGGGACGTTTTGATTAGCTCTCTAGCTGTTTTATCTTGGTCACTGACTCTGCTCGTGAGATGTCGAATGATGTTTGACCAGCCTGTTTATTGGGGCTCACTGGTTGCTAAGATCATTCTAGCAAGTGTTGTTTCATCTCCGGCGGGAGCGGCAGTTCTTTTAATGTGGGAGCGTGATGAGATGGTTCTCAGCGTGGTGTCAGATTAACAGACGAATAGGTAGTATTACATCAATTTATTATGCGTAGCACACTGCTATTTCCGACCTAATTCCCCCATTCGCGGACACAACTGCAATTCAATATCACGGATAGGACCCATTATTCCCAAAGCCCGTGGATTGGGCTTAAATGGCTTTTGTGAAGGTTTGACTCTAATTTCGAAACGAAGGAGGAATGTGGCAGCAATCAAGAGAGTCTCCTGCTCTGCCAAAAATCTCCCAGAGCAAATACTGGATCCTCCGCCAAATGGCCGCAAACTTGAGTTTTGTCGTTTGTCCCCACCACCATTCCAACGATCTGGATCAAACTTGGTCGGGTTTCTGAAGATATCTGGATTATAATGCATTAACTGCACAGGGAGAAAGACCAGACTCCCCTCATGGAGGATGTATCCTTCCAGTTGTTCGTCTTTCTGTAGGACACGCGCTGAAGCGCTCGTTGATCCGAGCCGGATGGTTTCTTTCCAAAAGCCCTGGATCCAGGGATCCGACTTTAATTTAGTGATGTCGAACTCGAGCATGTTACCACTGCAACTTTTTACAACCGACTCTGCTTTTGATCGGAATTGCCACACGTATACTGACGTCTGGAGAAGATTCATCAAAAAAGTCGTTGCCAGCGGGCCTACATTTGTCATCGAACTAATGTCTCACGGTCAGTTGTGCATTCAAGTGTCCGGAAGATCGCCACAACTCACACCCATAAAAATGACAGATGCGAGCAGGAACGACCTCGAGAGGTAATTCCATGGTCGCGATGCAATCGTTCTCGCTCCCAGTTGAGCTTCAATCCCCATTCTTCGCACCAGATTTCATGCCCACCGGGCCATTCCTGCACGGCGGCGTCGATCCAGCGATCAAAAGCAAGTAAAATTCTCTCTCGCGCCTGCCATGCCTGGCGATTGAACTGGAATGAGAGGCTGGTGCGCACTCCTGCGTAAAGGGTATCGTCTAACCGGCGAAAGTCCTCCCAGAAACCGGGGTAGTCTTTTTGAATGCGTGTTCCAAAAAAGGTGGTCACAGATGTTGCAAACACTAAGCGTCGCATTTCTTCAAAGACGAAGATATTCCTCTTCCCCATGCGAGGTACTTGAAAGTTATCATTCATATAGTTAGCAAGATTCGCCCTGTAGACCTTCATAATAGAGTCCAAATTTTTTCCCGTCAAAAAGCGAATGTACGCATTGTGAATTAGGTCTTGAAATGACTTGCTCCCATTTTCCGACTTGAATGTCCCCTGGTAAATGTGTGTATCTTCATTTGGTAGGTCAAGGCCATTTCGCATCATCGATGCTACAATTGGAGAGAAATCAAAGTCTCGCGACCGGCCAAAAATCGTGGATGCGGATTCCACAGAGTCAAAGACGTGGAATTTCGTCCCCATCATAACCAAGCTGAAGGGAACACCGGGGTATTTTTTACTGAACATATCAGCTTTCTGACCCTGATCCGTCTTCATTTTTCATACCGAAGATTTTGCACAAGTCCCCCGGGATCCCTGAAAAACTCAAAAACATGGCCGAAATATGGAATCCAGTACGGTGCAACCGGGGGCTCCTGCAAAGCTGGTGGTGGTTTCCATACTGATCGTGAAATTGCCAACACCCCAGTGAGAAATATGAGTAGAAGTGCCCCTAATAGAGCTGTGTCAAGGTGATTCCCCTGCTCTATGAAGTGGAAGAGTTCAGCCAACATTGTCTGTGTACAGCATAGGTCGCTAGTAAGAAACATCAGCTCTGGACTTGGCTGACTCGCGGTCAAGTGGCTGTGTTAACCACTATTTCATGAGTTCAATCCGCATACGTTCATAGCGGAGACCCATAGTCTCTGCTTATCGGGTTACACCTGGTTGATTGAAGAATCAATTTCGGATGGATTGCATACCCTGAAGGCCAAGAGTATCGTGGCATAGTTTCACTGGCTGCAGTTTCCGAGCTCCATGATTTATAAATTGAAGCTGACGTTAGATGTCTCAGACGGTCAGTATTCTACTGGATTATATGAAATGCTCCACTGCGTCTACATTTGAATTTGCACCATGCTGCACAAATGATGCATTACCATCAGCTGTACGCAATCACCACCACCACTCATCTACACTTGTCTATATCTCTTGCTGAAGGTGGCTTCCAGAAAGATCACCAGATAAGTCATCATGAAGATTTTGTGTCTCCACGGAAGGGGCTCTAACAATGATGTAAGTTGTGTGCCTCGACCTCCATGTAGAGTTCAGCTACCAACGCCCGATTGGTTATACTAGATCTTTCAACTACAAACTGGTAAGACAATTTCTCAAATAAGTTTGATCGGGCTAACTCTTGCCAAAGCCGCTTTCAGATCAGAATTGAATGATTTTGACTTTGAATATGTCCAAGGGACCGTGCCACATACTGAAGGTTCGCGGGGAAACGTGAAGCGGGGATCCATGCAGCGAATTAATCACCTAACCACCCAATAGGCAATTGGTCTCTGTATACAGCGGCGTTTCCAGATACACCACTGTACGGGTACTATAACCCTTTGCAACCGGCTTCGGTTACCCAAGCGGAGGACGATCTACTTCAGTTGATCGAGCAAGAAGGTCCTTTTGACGGCGTCTTGGCCTACTCCGGTGGAACCGCGCTGGCCGCTCAGATTATCATCCGAGACAGTCAGAAAAATGCTTTCAGTTTGCCCGATGAACGACCGTTCCGATTTGCTATCTTCATCAATGGAGTCACACCACTGAAAGTTATCCCTGCCCAAGAAGTCAAGGGAGAATCTTTAGGCCAGTCTGACCATGCTTCATTGGCGATGGAAGAGGTATCAAATCTTTTACTGAGAGATTCGGCTACCAGGGTGCGCAAGAAGCGGTCCGAGTACGACACCTATGACCCCGCTGCTATTAGACAGGATATTGCAGCGCTGGAATCCCGAGTCACTATTGATGGCCGACCATGTTTATCAAACGGGATCGAGGCAATCACTAGATATCATGCGGATCTGGATGGTATTCTCATTGATATCCCCACTCTCCATGTCCGCTGCTTGGAGGAGGTAGATGAAGACCATGGTTTGAATCTTACCAAGTTGTGCGAGGCCGAATTGGTCACGGAATACTTCCACCAAAATGGTGAAGATTTTCCCCGCGGCCATACCGAGATGAAGAGGATTGCACAATTGATTCGGGGAACAGCAGAACGGGCATAGACGATGATACCAAGTGAGGAGTCAATCCTTCGGTCCAACTGGGATGTCTGTTCGGGCATTAGTAGCCAATAAAATTTTTGACGCGAATTACCACCATGCTCAAAATGTACCATGACTCGAGTGTCGGTGACATATTGTAATCCATGTTGATTCTTGTTTTCAACAATTATTATTCTCTCAAATGTCGTACCGCGGAGCACCATTGGAGAGGCGCGCTACTCCATAGCTCTGAACACTTCAATCCCTGTCTGTATTTGGATGCACTAGTCATCCGAGTTGCTGAAGGTGAATAACATCGCCAGCCATCCAAAAGCCGCAGGCTTTGAGTATTTAAGCGGGTGATCTACCTCGAATGAGTAAATTTCGATTTTTCTTTTCAATAAATCACCCGAACAGAATCATTGTAACCTGACATCAATTTCAACATGGGCTCCATCGATATTAAAGATGGTTATGACACCCCGTCACTCAAAATGGAACCTCTTGCAGTCGTTGGCATGGCCTTTCGAGGGCCTCAAGAGGCGACAGACACCGAAAGACTATGGGACTTTCTTCTCAGAGCCCGACAAGCAATGGCGCCGTTTCCCTCTGAAAGGATGAATGCAGACGCTTTTTGGCATCCTGACCCAGAGCACGGTGGAACCGTACGTGTATCAACTGCTAAGATCGCAGGTGCCGTTCAACACTAAATGACTTTTAGTTCCATAACGTAGGAGGTAACTTCCTGGAGGAAGACCCAGCATCCTTTGATTACACCTTCTTCAATATCATCAAGACAGAGCTCTTGACGCTGGACCCACAACAACGACTTGTCATGGAAAATGTTTACCATGCTCTCGAAAACGGTATATTTCTGTGTCCATGATGTAGAATTGCAGGATATGCTTACGTTAGTAGCTGGTTTTCCGATGGAGAAAATAGTTGGGTCCAGGACCGGAGTCTATGTGACTGGATTTAATCACGACCATCTTGCAGTCTTGAATGCAGACTTAGAGAGCGCTCTCAAATATAAGGTCACAGGAGTGTCGAACTCGATTATATCCAACAGATTGAGCTGGTTCTTCGACTTCAAAGGTCCTAGTTTGACTGTCGATACTGCATGCTCCAGTAGCATGGTTGCATTGCACCTGGCAGCACAAAGTCTGCGGAGCTCCGAGAGTGATATAGTATGACTCGGCCGACCCCCGTTTTTGTTTGACATGTCTAGATTAACAGTACCAGGCAGTTGTCAGTGGTGTAAATATCATGGAGTACCCTGCAGATATCATCGCAGAGAGTCATCATGGCTTCCTCAGTGCTGACGCCAAGTGCTTCAGTTTTGACCATAGAGCCAACGGATACTCCCGTGGTGAAGGTGTTGCGAGTATTGTCGTCAAACGACTCTCTTCTGCTCTGCGAGATGGCGACACTGTCCGTGCTGTTATCAGAAACACGGGCGTCAATCAAGATGGGCGCACACCAGGTATTACCAACCCTAGCGCTGTGGCACAAGAAGCCTTGATCCGTCATGTCTACCGGGAGGCTGGCCTCAACCCGAAGGACACGGCCTTCGTCGAGGCACACGGCACTGGAACCGCGGCGGGTGATCCTGTGGAGGCCAGTGCAATCGCTAAAGTGTTTGGCGCGTCCCAGGAAGAGGCAGTCTACATAGGAGCACTCAAATCTAATGTCGGGCATTTGGAAGGTGGCTCCGGAGTTGCGGCGGTCATCAAATCGATATACATATTGGAGAATGCTATGATCCCCCCGAACCAGAATTTTGAGAAGATCAACCCCCGCATCCCAGTGGGAAAATGGAACATCAAATTCCCACTGCAGACCATTGGATGGCCTCGAAAATCAGGACTTCGTCGAATTTCAGTCAACTCGTTTGGTGTCGGAGGAACAAACGCTCATTGTGTTATGGATGATGCCTACCACTTTCTTCAGGATACCCGACTAACCGGCAACCATAAGTCTACTTCCATTATCCCATCGCAGCAAGAAATTGATCGACTCATCAGTGCAGCTCACGCACGGTATCAGGGTTTGGCAAGCGACCTATCGTCCCACGAGAGCAGAACCTCCACCAGTGATGGCCTCTCGGAGTATGAATTGATTGGCCCGAATGGAAAGGAATCTGACAGCAAGGGCAACGCTCTCTTATATTCACTTTCTGCATTTGATGAAGAAGGAATCAATCGCATTGCTGCAGATATACGCAGCTATCTGATTCAAAAACGACGGAGTGAGCCCGATGGGAAGACAATTGACAACCTCGGTAGCTTGGCATACACGCTGTCCAATAAGAGATCGGTTTTACCATGGAAGAGCTTCGTGGTCGCTGATTCCTGGGGAGAGCTCGTGAAAAAACTCTCGGAAGGAGTATCGAAGCCTCTTCGTTCACGCAATACTCCTCTGGTCGCATTCGCGTTTACTGGTCAAGGTGCACAGCACTTTGCCATGGGACGAGAGCTGCTGATTTATCCCACCTTTCGGAAGTCATTGGAAGATGCGACGGAATATATGAAGTCGTTGGGAAGTCCATGGTCTCTTCTTGGTAGGTAATAATCCTTTACTTGAAGATTCCATAATAGGTGACTTTATACTGACTTGTCAAAGATGAGCTTCTCAAAGATAAGGAAGCCTCTCGAGTGCATTCGCCGGAGATCGCTCATCCCTCGTGCGTTGCTGTACAGGTTGCCGTTGTTGATCTCCTCGCCAGCTGGGCCATTTTTCCAACACGAGTGATAGGACACTCATCGGGTGAGATTCCAGCCGCCTACGCAGCCGGAAAATTGTCTCGGGAGGCAGCTTGGAAAGTAGCATATTACCGTGGAGAAGTTTCTGCCAAGCAACTCTCTGCTAAAGGGGCAATGCTGGCGGTCGGGTTGAATGAAGAGAAGCTTGAGCCCTATCTAACGAAAGTGCGCAATGGACGCACAGGTGAGCTAGTCATCGCATGCTACAACAGCCCCAATAGCCAAACAGTCTCCGGAGATCAGGAGCTAGTGGATAGCCTCATGGCAGACCTTGTTGCAGATGGCCACTTCGCCCGAAAACTTCGCGTGCAAAATGCATACCACTCTTCTCATATGAAAGAAGTGGCGGAAGACTACCTCAACTGTTTGGGTAGTTTGGCTGGTCCATCCCAAAGTCTGCCGCATGAAACCCACATGTTCTCATCACTAACCGGAAAGAGAGTAGAGGCCACTAGTTTGGACGCACAGTATTGGGTAGACAACCTTGTGTCGCCTGTTCGATTTACTGGCGGCCTTGCTGGTTTATGCTTGGACCCTATTTCACACGGCCAGGGATCTCTCAAAGTGAACTCCAAAGTGGATAAGGTCTTCGTCGATCAGATCGTCGAAATTGGGCCTCACAGCGCCTTGCAAGGTCCAATCAAGGAGATCATCACTGCCAATAGCGTGAAATCTCCCGTTGAATATTTGTCCATTCTAAATCGGAATAACCCTAGTATTGAGGTTCTTTTGAGGTCCATCGGGAAGCTGTACACCCGGGGCTGTCAGATTGATATTGATACTGTCAACCGGGCAGCTCGACCGACGGAGAAGGCCCATCCCATGATGCTAACGGACCTGCCACCCTATCGGTTCAATCATTCCGATAAAACATTGTACATAAGCCGATTGGCCAAAAACATCCGTTTCAGAACGGCTCCTCGTCATGACCTTCTTGGCGCCCCGGTTCCTGATTGGAACCCCCAGAATCCTAAGTGGAGGCACATTTTCAGGCTCGACGAGCTCCCTTGGCTGCGGGACCACGTGGTAGGTTGAACCAAATTCAAGATTTAATCACTCGCCGGGGTAATTACTAACTTAAACATGCACTAGGTCACCGATAATTTTGTGTACCCTGGAGTGGGGTATCTTATCATGGCCATCGAAGCAGTGAAACAACTGGCCGAGCCAGGGTCACACATCCTCCGCTTCAAGTTTAAGAACGTGGCCATCAAGAAAGCTTTGATTATCCCAGATAGTAAAGATGGCATCGAGACGTCCATTTCCCTAACTCGGATGGACGAGACGAGCCTGTGGGGGTCGTCTGTATGGAGGCGGTTCGAAGTTATGTCGTACAACCCCGGTGCTGACGACTGGATAGAACACTGCACGGGGTATATCTCGGTAGAATTGGAGAACAAAAAGGAACTACTGGGTGGTGATCGAGAAGCCAAAGAAGAGGCAGCAGACTGGCAGGCTCTGTGGAATCAAGCTTCACAGTCATGCCAGGTCCCGATGGATTTCAAGAAGACCTACGACAATCTACAAACAGCTGGTCTGGCCTTCGGGCCACTTTTCCGAAATGCATCGAATGTCAAGACAGGGAAATATAACGAAGGAATTGTTACAGGAACAGTAACTGTCCCCGATATCAGCCAGGTGATGCCGAGGAACTATTTCCACCCGCACCTCATTCATCCCGCCACTATGGACAGCATGATTCATCTCCTGATCGGTGCCGTTGTAGATGTGACCAACAACAAGGGCACTCTGGAGAAGCCGGCCGTGCCGACATTTATTCGGGAGGTCACAATATCTGCGGATATCGATTCGACCCCAGGAACTACATTCTATGGCCGTGGCAAAGCGGGCTTGATCGCATACGAGAAGTTCGAGTGTGATGTCAAAGTTTGGAACGGAAAGACCAACCGAGGGTGCATCTCAATCGATGGTCTCCGTTTGACTCCACTAGACTCTGGCGATAATACGTCAATGCAAGTTCGAAAATTATGTCACAGCTTGGTCTGGCAGCCCGATGTCAACTTCTTGGACACTAAGTCATTCTTGAACCTGGTTGAGGTTCCTAACTCGGATGACGAGTTGGATCGCTTTTGGAACAGTAGACATCAAGCAGCAGTCTTGTTGATGGTGACAGACGCACTCAAGGAGCTGAAGGACTTTCCCAAAGATTCACTCGAGGGTCACTTCCGTCGCTACTATGACTGGTTGGAATACCAGGCGGAGGAACTGCATGCTAATCGGATCAACGGCCTGCCTCATACCTTGTGGGAACGAATGGATCGTAACCCACGGCTGAAGAGTGAGCTCTACCGGTCAGTGGAAGAGCACAATGCCGAGGGCGCGCTAGCTGTCCGTATGGGGACCAACATCGTTCCCGTATTGAAGAAAGAGGTCGACCCTCTGGAGCTCATGTTCGGAGATGAAGGGAATATCATGGATCAGGTCTACGACTATCTGGCGACTCTCGGAGACCTTCCCTGCCAGCTAGAACAGTATCTTAGATTTCTGGGCCATACTTCTCCCGAGCTTCGAATCTTAGAAATCGGCGCTGGCACCGGCAGTTCAACCGCTGTGCTATTGGAGGCATTGAGCCCTCGATCAGAACGTAGCAGCAGTACTGATTCTCGCATTGCACATTACTGCTACACTGACGTCTCTGCCAGTTTCTTCACCAAAGCAAAGGACCGGTTTAGTCTGTGGAATGATGTCCTAGACTTCCAAACGTTGAACATCGAATTAAACCCTTCTACACAAAACATCGAAATTGGCACGTACGACATTGTGGTTGCTGGCAACGTACTTCACGCCACATCAAATCTCGAGGAGACGCTGAAAAATGTCCGTGCCTTGCTGAGGCCTGGTGGCAGATTGGTCTTGCAAGAAGGAACAAGACAAGATAGGCTCGGACCAGCACTGTCTTTCGGGCAGATTTCTGGATGGTGGCTGGGCGTTGAAGAAAGCCGCAAGTGGTCTCCGTTCGTGCCGCCATGCGAGTGGGAGAAACACCTGCGTAATGCTGGATTCTCCGGCATTGGTATAGACATGCCCCAGTCCCGAAACCTTGAGTACTCAAATCAATCAGTCTTCATATGCTCTGCAGTGGCTGAGAAGAGTGACCATGGTGATAAGCACAAGCGAGTGAAAATTATCTCACTGTCTGCACCATCCGAAAGTCCACTCGTGTCAGCTATGAAGGCTCAGCTGCACAAGAATTTAGGCCTGACAGATATCCAAGTGATGCATCCTCTCAACCTCAAAGATGTGGACCTCACGGATTGTATTTGTATTGCCGTTGTGGAGCTAGAACGCCCTGTTCTATTTGAAGCTCTGGAAGAGGAGTATTTGAATATCCGCCATCTCGTCGCGACGTGTGGAGGTCTGCTCTGGGTGACTGGGGATCCAGACAAGCAGCCAGAGGCTGGGCTTATTACTGGTCTGTTGAGAACCGTGAGATGGGAAAGAGATATTGAAGACGCAAACTTGATTCCGTTTGCGATTCTTGACATGCTTGACCCCAACGAGCAAGCCCGTGTCATCGGGAAACTTTTCGAGCATCAATTCTGGTTGACATATACATCCGAACGAGACAGGAACTCCGAGTATCAGTTCCGCCGTGGGATATTCTACACCAACAGACTTGTCGATCATGCCAAAGCCAATGGGTTCTTAAGCGCTCAGTTCTCGAAGCCTGCACCTCAAATGAAGCGCCTCGGTAATGCTGTCCATCCAATCAAGCTCAGCATAGCTACGCCCGGATTTTTGAGCAAGTTGCAGTGGGTTACAGATAAAGCCCAGAGCATGCCTATTGAGAATACCCAGGTCGAGGTCAACATCCGGGCTGTTGGGTTAAATTTCCGTGATGTGATGATTGCAATGGGAGAGCACATGGCTTATAGTCTTGGTAGTGAAGGCTCTGGCATTGTGACTCGTGTGGGCTCCGACGTGCGCGAATTCCAGCCAGGAGACCGTGTTGTTTACATGGGCGGTTTGGCTTCGACTGGATGCTTGCATACCTTCGGTCGTGTCGATCAAAATATCCTGGTCAAAGTGCCCGATGAAGTGCCGCTTGAAGAAGCTGCTGGTCTGCCTGTTGTTTTTGCAACAGCCATTTATGGTCTTGACGATGTTGCTCGTCTGCAAAAGGGAGAGACCATCCTTATCCATGCTGGTGCGGGAGGTGTGGGCCAAGCCGCCATACAATATGCCCAGCTCGTTGGGGCTGAAATCTTTGCGACAGTCTCAAGTTCACAGAAACGAGAAATCCTGGTTGAGAAGTATGGAATTCCCGAAGATCATATCTTTTCCAGCAGAGATCTCAACTTTGCTCCCGGTGTCATGCGGCATACCAAGGACAGAGGCGTCGATGTGATTTTGAATTCATTGTCGGATGAAGCTCTCCGTCGCTCGTGGGATTGCATTGCACCATTTGGTCGTTTCATCGAGATTGGAAAGAAGGATGCTCAAGCCTATGGTAAGGTAGAATTGACGCCGTTCCTTCGGAATGTTACCATGGCCAGTGTGGAATTGCCCACTATGATCAAGTATCGGCCGGACCTGGTGAAAAGACTCACCCAGGACATTATCCGTTTGTATGCAGAAGGCAAGATTCGCGATGCAACGCCGACCACGTTCATGAATTACTCCCAAATAGAAGAGGGTTTCCGATTACTGCAGGCTGGTAAGAGTTTGGGCAAGATTATCTTTGTTCCCCATGAAGACGACCTTGTGCCCTTAATTCCTGAGCCGACACCGCCTCTGCAATTCCCATCCAACGCCTCCTACGTTCTAGCAGGTGGATTGGGTGGTATCGGGAGGAGTTTTGCCTTGTGGATGGCCTCCCGCGGAGCCCGGAGTCTCATATTCCTTTCACGATCTGGTAAAATTATGGAGCTAGTTCAGAAGACGCTCGACCAGTTGAAATCCAACGGTTGTACAGTCAAAATCTTCAAATGCGATGTTTCTGACAACGAACGGATGAGAGCCGTGGTGAAGGAATGCGAGACATCGATGCCACCCATCAAGGGATGCATTCAATGTTCGATGGTTCTCAAGGTAAGACTAGAAAGAAACCACAAAGAGACTGATGTCACTAATAATAGTAATAGGACGGAATGTTCGAAAACATGTCGTACGGCGACTGGAAGGGGGCAGTCAAACCCAAGGCTCAAGGATCGTGGAACCTTCACAAGCTGTTGCCTGAGGACATGGACTTCTTTGTCCTCCTTTCTTCCGCCACTGGTATTATTGGAAATCGTAGTCAGGCAAACTATGCTGCTGGAAATACTTTTGAAGATGCTTTGGCAAGATACCGTGTTTCCCAAGGCAAGCCTGCCGCCAGTATCGATCTTGGAAGTGTCTTGTCGGTCGGCTTTGTGGCGGAAAACGAACAATACGCGCGCCACACCACAGCTATCCTAGAGGTTCTCCGCGAAGACGAGATCCACGGCATGCTTGAATTTGTGATCTATTCGCAAATGGATGCGAGTGTTACTCCGGAAGGGGCGCAGCTGGTGACTGGTTTGTCCACCGGGGCAGCTTATCGTCAGCGCGGCATTCCACCCCCAACATACATCAGCTACCCCATGTTCCGTCACCTTCAGAGCAGCTCAGATTCTCGCAGCGCACGCTCAGATGAAGATCCCACGCAGATGGTTCAAGGGCTCCTCGCCGCTGCAGCTACGCTGGAGGATGCTGCCGAAGTGGTTTCAGCTGGAATCTGCAACAAATTGTCTGCGTTGTTGTCTATTCCCGCAGCCCACATCGATCCAACCAAGTCTATCAGTTCAAACGGTGTCGATTCGCTGGTGGCAATGGAATTCAGGACTTGGCTCTCCAAGAGCTTGGGGGCTGATATTCCTCTTCTGGAGATAACCGGGTCGAATAGCGTCATCGTGCTTAGTACGAAGGTCGCCCGAGTCAGCCGGTATGCGCGATTCTCAACCGAAACAGCACCAGAGGACAGTCCGTAAAGCTCCGCTGGGGCAGAGGACGTTTTACAAAGGCCTTTCCGCGCATAGAGGGGATGTCTAGACCCTAGAGGGCTTAGTACGTCATGTTGCAATGGCAACATTTTATATTATTCATGCTATGGTCGCTGAAAGAATTATTCTCACCTCGACATGGTAGTAGTAGTAGTAGTAGTAGTAGTAGTAGTCTACAATTCACCATTATCCTGCCCTAGCTTGCCTGACCAATAGGCCGCCATGCAAGATTGGTGTAATGGTACGGGCTCGGGCAACATATTACCAACTAAACCAAAAGGACACACTGACCAGACCGCTAATATCATGACCCTGGTAAGTCCTAATCCCGTATATAGACCTAGGCACAACCCACAAACAGGTAGGAAGTCTGACTAGTAGGCAAAACATGACTAAATTTAGACCTCAAAATACGGTGGATCTGGATTCAACTTTTGAATCCTGATCCTGGCGTGTCGTACAGCATCAACGTCACCATCTCGCACGCCAGTATGCCGATCTGTGTAAGCGGAGCGAGCATTATGCCGACTTAAATCTCTTTCGGTGCTTAGTCTTCACCCTTCGATATGAGCACAATGACCAACAGCTTACGCGCGCCTGGATGACTCTCGGTCGTGCAATCCGACTGGCGCAGGTGCTGGACCTGAACCACCTCGATCGCCCGGCTTCGATTTGCCGCAGTAGCTGGGTCCTTCATATGATGTTGCAAGCAACACAAGTGCAAGCTGTGGTCGAGCAATAACGACGGTCGTTGTGGGCGTTGTATATTTGGGAGACCTATATGAGTATGCGAGCCGGCACACCATGCCAAATCAATCTGGCCCAAGTACGTCTTTGCCGTCTTTCTATCTTATGCTTCCTTTATTTCCATCCCAGCAGACAAAGAACCAACTGACCATTTAGGTCGAAGTTAATCTCGCCCCTCCCGGTTAATATGGCCCAGACTTCGAAGATACACATAAACCGCTCCTAACCGAGAATATCAACCTTACGCCCGTCACACATCTTATTCTACAGCGGACTGGTGCTGGTGGCAATACTCAGTAGACAGTGCATGCGGCATGTCATGCAAAAAACGGTCGCAGAATCGGACTCGCCACCTTTCAGGTCAGGCTTCTGGGACCGCCACTACGCTCTCGGCTAGGTAATTAATGATGGCATGACTGTTCTGCAAGCACACCTCAGTGCAAAAGCCTCGCGCATGGACCCAGCCACCTTCAGCTTACTCCTCAATCTCTGCGCCTTGAATCTGTAGCTGCATGAAGCAGCCATCGCCCAGGCTGACAGGCAGGACTTGACCCCGTCACTAGTCGCCGAGTCGCGACGGAGATGTTCGGTGGATGCGCTCAAAATTGCTAGTACTATTAGGATAATTTATCCGGTTTCCCGCAGAGATGGGGATATCATTACTCTGCAACGGACGTTTATTGGTTCGCTATTGGTGATGAGCATGAGGGCGTTGTGACGGGAGTTGCGCACGTTAACGGACCTGACGGCAGATAGTGTCACGGGTTCGCTGAGGCTTTTGTCTGATATATTAGATGCGATTGAGGAGGAAAATGGGTATTGGCATCATCTTGTAGCTGGGGTGGATGTTACCTTGCAGAAGTGGGAAGAGGAACATGATGGGTTTGGGAGTCTCTTACGGCAGCAGGATACAACGACATCAAGATTAGACACTAGACCGGAAACTTGATGTTAGTAGATATTCAATACTGGAATGGCATACACTTGGCAGCTAAATGTCAGCCAACTAAAAATTTATTGTGAGAATTTCTGCATATATGAAACACCTGTTGTGTTTAGCTTAGGTTCTGAACTTTACCCCTAGTAAAAAAGATTACTAGCTTTCAACTTCCCCAAGCGCCTTTTATGTAGTAGCGCACTTGGTTAGGTGTTTTCCCGCACCTATAAACGCCGCTCCCCACCCTCCACTATTCACCCACGGAAATTGTCTACCGTCTCCCGCGACGAAAGCAGTGGCAGACATGGAAAACAACGAAGAGTAGGAGAGAGGAGGCCGCACGCCTCAGCCCCACCACTTTTTCTGTCTCCTCCTGTTCTTCGCCGTCGTCAGGATGATATCCCCTGCTACAAATCCCGAAATGACCCACGTTGTCGGCAAGGCCGACAACCGCCAGCACGCTGTGGTGAACCTTTCATCTCCAGACCACAGCCTGCCTTTCTCATCGCTCCGTGCGCGGCCAACCCTTCTAGGATTGACTTCCAACAATCTCAGCTATGCCCGTGGTGGAGATCTACTATATTGGTATGGTGCCTGGATTTACATATTTCCCTGCCACTGACAGCCACAGGTGGAAAACATACCCCGTTCCACACACCGCGCCGGCCCCATACAACGATCAATCGTCTTGGGGTATTGTCCCGGCATGGGGATACGCTACTGTCACCGAGAGCAATGTCCCTGGTATGATCCCAGGCTCCCTTATCTGGGGATACTGGCCTACCTCCACGTCGCCCACTCTCCTGTGCTTGGAACGCAGTGATCCTGAAGGCCACTGGGTGGAGGTTAGCAACCATAGACAACAGCTTATGCCTTTATACAATCGCTATGAACAGGTACTCCCTGATGAAGAAAAAGAGGTGGATGGGAGGGCATGGAGCACGGTTTTCCGAGGGGTCTGGGTCGCCGGATACCTGCTTAGTGAGTATGTATTTTCTCCCGACCCGCGCGCACGAGAACCAGTTCATCCGCTTGGCGCAGCGAGTAAACTCCCCTGGTCTACGAATGATGCTGATCTCTCGAACGCTGTTGTAATGGTTCTGGGCGCGTCGACCAAGGTTGCGCGGTCGTTTTCATGGTGTCTTTTCGACCGGCCCAGCGAAAGTGGGCCCCTAGGTTTGGTACAGGTCACTTCATCGCCTGATGCATTGCAGGCGATGACAGATAGAAAAGGCTGGGGGGGGATGTTCAAAACATTGACATATGCCGAAATTGACCAAGCAACTGAGTGGATCGAGGGTCTACAGCCATCGAAGCTGGTAATTGTCGACTGCGGAGCGCGGGATAATGTCCTTAGTCAGATATGCCACAATCTTCGAGAGTCCGCACTCCCGTCCTGCAAAACTGTCATTCTGCAGGTGGGCAGTCAACAGAAGGTTTGTCTTGCTGACTTTGCGTCTGGGGCCTTGTGTTGACTTTATTCAGGTGTACACGGCGGACGAAGTCCAGACTGCCCGTGCAGCTATGGCATCGCTTGGAAAGATCCAGTATAATACCTCCGGCGTCCAGGATACAGTGATCGACCGGGAGGGAGCTGCAACATATTTCGGAAATGTTTCGCGCAGGTGGAAGGAATGGTTAGCACACCGTTCCGGCGCCATCCCTGACATGCGTTTAGCCTATGGGCAGGGCATTGCTGGAGACAATGGGATTTATGGGGGATGGGAAAGACTTTCCAATGGTGCAGTAAGACCCGAACAAGGATTGGTTTATGTCCTGTAGATCTCATTACAGACATATGGGACTATTGTTCTATCCAGGTTGTCGGCCGCCGTGGGACTCAAGCCCTAAAGGCGAACGCCACAGAAAAATATCACCACGACACCGAACAGCAGAGGAAAATAAGAAACCGGCTGTGGGTTCTGGACCAGCTTCGTTTCACTGCGCTTGACCGCCGATTTGCTATCCTTCCACCCTAGACTGCCCCTATCCTCAGTGACAAAAACATATGTCAGCTTCGGAGCTTCAGCGCACGTCTGCGCAACATTCTTCGCCATGAAATCCAACCCAATAAGCGGTAACACCCATCGTTGCGCGATGTAACTCAGCCACCCTAATACGCCTGCCCAGCCGCCCTAGTTCGACGATCTTCACTAAGGAACTAAAAAGAAAAAAAATAACTCAACAGTAACAGATTGTATAACAGCACGTGGAGGACTGTTTCGGAGCCAGACACAACTTCCGGCTTCCGATTACTCAGCGGAATTGTAGATCTGAACGACACCAGAGTCTGGCCAGAGCCTCGCATTTGAAACCTCCGACGGATAGAAGGGGGAAGATCTGCACTTGCTGTGGGCCCAGTCCACCAGCTTGTATATAAACTAAGAAATCGCCCGGCTTGTTCAGGGAAGACAATGTTACGTTTTCAATGTTCTTTCCCGGCACGACTGTGCCGAGCCCCTGTTTTCTAAGTGGTCAGGGAAGATGATATATAGTCACAGAAACAGCTATATAAAGGCCATCGCGACGCCCGACCAAAATCCACAATTTATTGTCTCATAGCCAAAAAGTATCAAACCGCCAGCTATGTCTTCAAATCTTTCAGCACAGAACCCCACATGCGAGGGCGTCCTCATTGTATGGCTTCAAGTCATTAAACATTCGAATTGGAATCGAGTGCTGACAAACTGTATATTGGAGCAGGCATTGCCGGTTTAACGCTGGCCCAAGCCCTACGACGCCACGGGGTACCTTGTACAATTTTTGAGCGCGATGATTCCCCGGACGTTCGCAATCAAGGATGGGGCGTTTCTATCCACTCCACTCTGACTACGTGGGAAGCGCATATCTTTTCAGAGATTTATGATCGCGTCTGTGAAGCACAGGTGAATCGTGCCGTCGGTCGTGATGAGGTCCGCGGAGTCCCATGGATCAACGGCGCGACTGGAAAAGTCGAGCAGTCCGTTCCAAAAGGCAAGAGACTTAGGCTGAGACGGGACGGAATCCGGACGGCCCTCATGGAGGGTCTGGACATCAAGGTCAGTCAAGATTTCCTTTTGTTCCGTTGATTCTTGTCTAACCCAAGGCTAACTCGCTTTGAAGTGGGGCAAACGACTCGTCAAGATTGAGAAAATAGAGGGTGGTATTCGAGCCGAGTTCACTGATGGCTCGACTACTGTAGGAAAAACACTGGTGGGTGCAGATGGCTCGACATCCGTGGTCCGCAAGTTTCTCGCGCCCACAACTCACGAGCTGCATCGCCTTCCTATCAATGCGGTGGGCTGTGCCGTGACTATGAGTGAAGAGCAAGTCAATTATTTCAAAAACCACGTCGATCCACTCTATTTCATGGGTACGCACCCAGAAACAGATACCTTTGTCTTTTGGTCTCTGCTAGACACTCCCACCTCTCCTGGGAGGCCCTACCGTGCACAGGTCTACTTTTCCTGGTTGGCTTCTGATGCGGATGCGGAACTGTTCAAGCAGCCCTTACTTGAAGTGTTCAAACAAAAGGGCCGGCCATTCTTCCCTCGCATGCGTGATATTGTTGACTCGTTGCCGGATGACACCGTCGTTACAAAAGTCAACCTGGTCGACTGGCCCTCTGTTGAGTGGGACAATTGGAATGGCACTTGCACCTTGATTGGCGACGCGGCCCATTGTATGGTGATTTGTAAGTCTTATCTTCCTCGTGAGAGAATGGAACTCTAACTAATTTGAGCAGACCGCGGCGAGGGAGTGAACCATGCCATTGTAGATGCCTGTCAACTCGCGGATACTATCAAGTCGGGTGCTGATGGTGACAAGTCCATGGATGACGCTGTCAGAGAGTATGAGAAGCAGATGCGCCCGCGAGCGAGAGAGGCAGTGAAGACCAGCAGACAGGCCGGATACGATGGCCATTGTTATGCTAAAGTTGACAAGGAAGGAAGCTTCGCTCTTCTAGGTGAAAAGCCAGTCTAGTGGTCTTTCTTGTTATCCAGGCCTTCTGTGCAAGGGCACAGCGGCCCAAGAACCGCATGATCTAGTACGCATCTAGGTGATGGGTGCAGAAATGCCGATATTTCGGGCAGTTCTAACTGTAGGCTATTGGATATTGGTCGAAATTGTTAAAAGAGTTGGGTTGACACCGTTTCCCGGAAGCACTGCAACAGATCTATTTTTTTGCTCGTATAATTATTTTTCCTGCCTATACCCTAGTAGATATTCCACCCTAGGTAGAATCAACTTTCGTGCCCGCTCATTTGTCTGTCCTGGCAGGAGCCACAGGAAGCCTCACATCTCTTGTGATATACTATCTACATGGACAGATCCTGATTAATTATAACATCTGTCAGAATCAGATTTACCTGCGTGTTAACAAGGATAAAAATTTATTATATATAAATTTATTTTTCTTCTTCTAATTATCTCTTAAATATCCTTATCAATCTCTCTATTTTTTTTTAATTAATTAATTCAATTAATTTATATACTACTACCCTCTAATAAACTAATTCCAGGTAATAATAGTAGCACCTACCAACATGGGCTATCGCATGGGGGCTTTTCCAATGCGTGCGGACTGGACTTAGGATTAAATCATTTAGTAGAGTGTCATCACCAAACCGAAAAACCCGCACTGAACCCGCAACAAGTTCAGTTCCCAAGATCTGCCACTGCATCCGCAATGAGTTGGGTCCTACCCGGGTAGAGTCCACACTAATCCGCATTAAATAACACTAATAAAGTAGCAAGACATCAACAAGCTAATACTAACACACTTGAGTGACCATATTCATACTAATACTATTATATATTTTTGATTTTAGAATTTGAATTGTTTTCCTTGCTTGATATTTGAAAAAAAAACTACTAAGGAATAGATCAGTTTCAACCCGGCCTAGCAGGTCAGATTATTAATCTCCAATTCCAACCCGCCCCGAATCCATTGGCAATGTGGATCGTGTGCCAAGTATTCAAGCGTCTCTACACTTCCCCGATCCCCAAATTGGGGAAATGAATATTCTCTTCCAACGGTTTTACGGGACCCCATTGAATTTGGGGATCATCACTTCTCTATGAGAATCCACAACGTGAATATGACTGCCTCGGGATTGGACAAAATTGGAGGGAACGCCCTGCTGTGGCCATTGAACCTCGGCACGCCTCGGTCACTTAATCATGATATTGTGTTTTCTCCAATCCCCTATATACATCCCTCTGTTCAACATTTTTTTTCAACATGTTTTGGGTACTACGTCGAAGTCAACTATCAAAGATCAATCGATTAGCATTGCGGTGTGAGCGGACCATGTCTCATTTTCGCATAATCAACCATGAAGTCCGCGCGCAAAATATTCGCGACCGACCAGGGGCAGTTAAGCTAGGGCACGAACGGGACCTTCGACTGGCAGTCAAGCAGTATGTCCCGCATGACAATCCTTGTCCTAACGATGGAGATGTCACCCTTATCGGGGCGCATGCAAATGGATTTCCCAAGGTTATACATCCTCCTCTGTAGAGGCGATGATCGAGGCTAAGAAAGTGTTAGGAGCTATACGAGCCCCTTTGGGACGATATCTACGAAAGACTGCGAGCTCGCAAACGACGTATTCGGGCAATTTGGATTGCGGACGTTGTTCAACAGGGTCAAAGCGGTATTCTGAACGAAGGGATTCTTGGAGACGATCGTAAGTTTTCAGCGTGATCGTGTGTCAAAGATTCTGACTGAACCTTTTTGTTATAGCTAGCTGGTTTGATCACGCGCGGGACGTGCTGTTCATGTTGAATCAATTTCAGGACCAAATCACCCATCCTGTCATTGGAATTGGTCACAGCATGGGTGGAATGCAGATGTAAGTGGGATTGAGCTTATGCAGAAGCTATGATACCTGACCGAATAAAGGGCCCATCTTTCTCTGATACATCCATCGTTGTTTCAGGGACTTATTCTCATAGATCCTGTCATTCAAAGAGAAAACCCGAGCCGTAAATATGCTTTACCGTCTACATATAGGCGTGATCTTTGGCCCTCTCGCGCCGACGCGGCAGAGAAGTTCAGATCTAGTCGGTTCTATCAGGCCTGGAATTCTCGAGTACTCGATAAATGGATCGAATATGGACTCCGCGATCTCCCAACAAATCTCTATCCCACGACCAGTGAAACCGGCGCCCAACCACCCGCTGTAACCTTGACGACGCCCAAGTCACAGGAATTATTTACATTTTTGCGATCCTCATATGTCGATGAAAGGTCCGGCCTTGCTCGTGGATCACCTAAGGAGGAGATGCATCCGGATGATATCGAGAACTTCCCATTCTACCGCCCCGAGCCTCCGCGAATCTTCCGTCAATTGCCAGAGCTACGACCCCCGGTCATGTATCTCTTCGGAAGGGACTCTGATCTTTCTTCCTATGATGCTCGTCGGGAAAAGCTACGTCTTACCGGTAGCGGAGTTGGGGGAAGCGGGGGTGTGTCTCGTGGGCGGGTAAAGGAAACCGTTCTTCCGTGCGGACATCTGGTTCCCATGGAGCTTGTCCAAGAAAGTGCGCAGGCCAGCGCCGATTTCATTGATTCGGAACTATCGTGCTGGGAGTCTCACAGCCTGGCGGTTCAAAACGCCTGGGGATCTGTCTCACACCAGGACCGCACAAGCATCGATGAGCAATGGAAAACTCATATGGGAACCATACCAAAACGACCAAAGCTTTGAGAGCACCTGTCGTGTCATCTGTGGAGGTTTGTGTTTGTTTCAATGCGATTCTAAATGTATATATATAATCTCAAGTACAGATTAGAATAATATTAGATAGTAGTCTCAGGTAATCTACTTGTCCAAATCAGCACTAATTATCTAAATACTGCAGACTCCATGTATCTGATCTCCTGACCCTGCAGGTTTTCAAGGGATCAGTGATTAGTTCTAATAACAACCTCCCCCTACTGTTCTTTATATAATCCTACATTGCCACTCCTAGCACGCTATCCAATCCTTTGATGTGGTGTCCCTGGGTACCGCATAACATAGGGCTTCCCATTCACTCCGCCATACCTAAGTCACACGCCAGCTGGTGAATAGTATGATAGGTGACCACATGCGAATCCTGTCTGTTGTATGTTTTTCCAACTTTTTCTATCTTTATCTCAACTTCTTTTTGATTAATGGGTTCAGTTAAGGCTGCTGTTCTACCTCCAGGCCCTTCAGCCCATCAACTGAAGTCCACCTGAAGCTCTGAAACCTCTTTATTCTGCACCCAGCCACCTGCGAAGACCCTGATCGGTTGATGTGGCCGTTCGCCATCTGTTAGCTGATTAGCCTAGTAAGGGAAAGCGTGCCTCAGGGTGGCTTGTTGTCAAACAGTACCACTACACTAAGAAGCTATGACGCCAGTTCAGGCATGATACTATATTTTTCTTAGTTGACAGCTAGATCACCAGCGCTTTTACCTTCTTGAAATGGATCATTCACATGCACATCCACTTTACAATTTCAGGCCTTGGGCCCCACAACAGGATCTCCAGTATTCAATCTATAACAAGAGTGAGTTAACATGACTGTAACTCTATACCCTAGTATGTAATCCAGTCTACGTACACTGTATTTCTTCATGTTCTTATTAGTCGCGCCCCCATGCCTGTGGGTAGCCCTACCTGTGAGATTCTCTCTACACTACTGCCTTGCCTGCCTAGATACTTTTAATTACTTTCTTCTTTTCTCTACTTCTTCTAAGTAATCGCGAGAGAATTAAGATACTAGTAATATTTTTTTTTTTTTTTTTTCTTCTCTTCCTTCTCTCTGAATCCCTGATACTACTTAACTTATTAATTAATTAACTTACTAATCTATTTATTTATTATATTATTATTATAAATCTCTTTACTTATAAGAAGTCCTACTCTTTCTAGATTTACTACTTATATAATTAGATTATATATCTAATTAAGTTACTTACTTATCTTACTAATTATTATACCTATTATCTTATTATTATTATAAAATCTTTTTATAAGATTATACTAGTCTTTATATTATAATATTTATAAATTAATCTAGCTTATAAGCTTTATTTAGTATTATTTTTAGAAAATTCTTTAATTCCTGAATTACTAGTTTATCAGGGCTATTATTACTTATATTATTTTTATATCTTATAATTTACTAGTATTCTTTTATAATATTATTATAAGATATATCAGGATAACTAGCCCTGTAAGTATTTATAAAAAGAAAATAAGAATTTTCTAGTCTTATTATAAATTATAAGTTACTAGTATTTTTTTAAAACTAGAATAAGTAATAATTTTTTTTAAATTATCTTATTTATATTTATTTTATATATATCTTAAATAGTTATTATAAGTAAGACTAAGATTATTTTTATATAAGTAAAGAAAGCTCTAGTATAAGATACTTATTTAATAAAAATTAAGATAAAGTAAGTACTAGATCTAGATATTAAGATAGTAATAAAGATATCTCTCTAGCTAAAGCTTATATAATAATCTAAGTTCCTGTAAGAACATGTCTTTAAAACTATTATTCTATTAATAATAATACTAGATCTTATATAAGAGTTCTTACTAGAGATCTTTATAGCTAGTATTAAATAGCTAGTAAAGATAATCTACTAGTTAATTAAAATATAATAAATTAATAAGTTTAACTAGGTAAGACTCTTATATTTTATAACTTAATTTATTTATAAAGTCTTTTTACTTTATATATATACTTAGAATATAACTAGATTCTAATTTTATAAACTTAATACTAGATTTAAATTAATAACTTTTTATAATAATTATAAGTATAAAACTAGTTTATCCTAATCTAGCTTAAGCT